AACTCTTATAAAAATGCAACCCCATAATAGTCAATCCAGAAAATGCTACCCCATCCAGTGGCACATACCCATTAGAGCCTACTACTAGGAAGTACCCGCCCCCCTTTCCGGCGAGTATAAAATTTGTCCTCATAGTTGTAGGCATAATCAAGGAAAGAGATGAAAAGATCTACGACAATAATAAGCAAAAACTCTTTGTATTCATCTTTGAACTGCTTTTCATAACTTAAAGTACGGTAAAAACGGGCAAAAAATACATATTTGCCTTGCAACATCACTGCAAAACGAGTTGAATAGTGGTGTTGTGCGTTTTACCACCCACATCAAACCTGTCTTGCAACAAATCAGGTTTTAACCCTTTAAGCCCCAGTATCCACATACAAATTCTCCAAATTGATCTCCATACATTTCCTTAAAGAATGAGTTGAGAGAATTTGATAATAGATCAAGGCATTTTCTCTTGAGTGATCATTTTATTTATTCTCATAACGTATCTCTTGACAGTGTATGGATACTGTTATGAGAAAATTGATCTTGGTCACTATTGCGACTTAAAGGGTTAACAGGTTAGAATGAGGGTGGTAAAATGTGCAACATCCCTTTTCAACTCGCTTTGCAGCAAAGTTGAACGTTTTTGTTGCCCGTTTTGCCGAAACATTATCCTGTTGTAGTGGTAAGAAGAATTTGAAACATTAAAAAAAAGAGTAAGTGTAAGTTAACCACGGCATGACAGTTGATGTTTTAGTGACACGCAATGAAGGTTTTACCTGATTGCCATTGCATAGAGGTTCTTCTTGAAAAGAATTTCTAGTTTGGTTTGCGTGTCCTTTTCTTCTAACTGAAAAATCTAAAAATGAAAGAAAAACAATATTCTGCATCTGTCACAACTTACGATTTTGAACATTTGCAGAGTTTGTGGATTAGAGAAGTAGTGGCCTGACTATCATGTGCAATTAAAGCAGTGCTAAAATGCACAGAACACTGATTTTTCATTGGTTAGTATGTATACCGGTACCTTATTTTCCATTGTTATGACAAATAAGCTTCCCCATTCACATAAGACATCAATTACTCCCTGGAAGGTCCCTGTAAAAGCTGTTGAATAAAAGAAATCTACAAATTACAGAGAGCTCTGATCAGATAGCTTAACTTTTCACTTGTTATGGGGAGGTTGCCATGAAGAGAAAAGAGAGGGCATTGGGCTAAAAAGGTTAGAGAAAACCTTAGATGGGGGGTGAGGGGGATGGGGCAGTCACTTATTTGGGCTGAATGGGCATGTGCGGCCAAACAGAGTATGGCTTTCAGAGCCCTGAGTCATAAACAGGGTATACAATTTCACTTGCATCTTGAACAGAGTGTCTTTCTGAACCAGAAGCCTTGAACAGGGGGTGAACATGGAAGTGAACATGTCTACATGTGTGGTACGGACATCAAAAAATTGAAACAGGTCAGTTTTTATAAACACTCATTTCCGTATCCAGGTTACCCAAACTTCTCTTAGGTGACCCCTGGGATGTTGCCAAAGTCAGTGAAAAGCCAGACTCAGGAAATTTTATTTTCTTAAAAATTATAATATCCATTTTATTTGACAAAAAATATTGTAAGACAATAAAGATCTCGATACTCTTTGACTGTTGGCTATAATTTAAGCGAACATTTAAATTAATTTCATTAAGTACAATAGCGCTGCACTTTCTTACCAATAAACTTGTTTTGAATGTCATATACCGTAACAATATTCATATTTCTTGGTTGAGAATTGCCTCTGCAAGAAAAAGTGGGAAGTACATGTACTCTTAATCTATGCCTATTTTAGGTGACATTTTAAAAATAATTGCCACATAGTTAATAAATAAAATTAAACCCCTTGTTACATAAGCTTGGGTCACATACAGTGAAAACCCTCGAGTGAGAGCCTGGTTTTTAAGAATATATTATCCTAAAATTTGCCAGTTAGAACCTTTTTAGCCTAAAATTTGAAACAGGTTCTTATTTTCTAAACATCTATAAAACAAATTATTCTGTACACTTGGGCAAATAAGATAAGCCAACATAGGGATTAGAGGCATGGGTTCCTTATCACTCCAACTGCAATACTAATTTACTACGCACATTTCGTATAAGAAAAAGCTGAATACCACTAAATACTTATGGCTACAATAACAATGTATTATTTTCCTTCCAGAAACAAGAACCTATCTAAGTCCATGCATAGCCTAAACTTGTGCTAATTACCAATATATGTTACAAGAACCTGTTAAGGCTAACTTAGGAAAATGCAAGTTCTTACTTGTGGGTTAAATTACTGTTGTACATGTACAATGTAGTCTCTCAGTTTAAACTCTCTGGTTGCTATTCAAATACTTAAAATACCTGAAGTAAAGATTATTTAGATGATGAATGTGACATCTTTGCCTTAGTTAAAAGAATTTACTTAGCTTACTTACCCTACTGCTGGTCTCTGAAGCTGTTTATTATCTTGGCTTACTACGACAAGATAACCACGCCACCATGTAACCATTTGCTTCTCTCCTGGCATAATAAACATTATTAATAATAACAATTCCTCCCATAAAAAGGATAGGTATGCTATCTTGCTAAAATGGGCTAAAATCACCTTTGCTATTTTTTTTAAATAAAAATAATTATAAACAAGTACATTTTCTAAGACACCAGAAATTCGAGTTCTTTTTTCATTGTCCCTTCATAGGACATAATATCAGTCTCTATTCATTTTCCAGCACCAAAATTCTCTGGACACCCAAAATCTAAAACGCCTTTTTCTTGCTACTTTCACGTGCAGTTTTAAAGAGTTTTGAAAGTGCACCTCAGTGTCATTTCATACTATGATTAAGTATAGAGGACTCAGTGACATTACTATTATCTGTAACAATAATACATTTTTCAATACAAGATTAATAATGTAAATATACCTTCAAATGCTAAACAAGGGCCCCGTCCATCAACCTGATAAAAGTAAAGTGCCTGCAATGAAATCAAGAACCTTAATGATTAAGGGCAAAAATAATGTTTTACAAAAGGCTTAATTTTAATAATGTTAAGGGTTTGCAGCATGTACTTGGCACTCTTTGCGCACATATCATTTTCATAGTGTTCTGAAGAAGACGGAAGAAGGCTTACCTCTTTTCGAGCCACAATAAACTGGTTTTCCTGTGACGCATCACTCATAACAGAGCATCTAAGTTCACAGCCGTGAGCATCTAATACTTCCTGGCAGTAAAAAGTAAACGTTGATGAGAACAGAAAACATAAGAAAATTTGAGGTAAACTAGGACTGAAATTAACCCTAAAACTGGAACAACCAGCATTAACGATTGATTTGCCATCGATTACTGGGCTTTTCAAAAACATGCGAACCTTGAAGTTCAAAAGCCACCTTCACAATTGCGTTTTTTCACCGCCGTCAATCTGCATAATTATTATTATCACAAGCAATGAACCTTGAAACACAGAAACACACAAAACACATCAAAATCCACCGATCAAAATCACAAACCATGACCTTTTACACCCATTGAAGAAAACTTTTGTTTCCTAAGAGGTCCGCTAAGATGATTAACGGCAGCAAAGAATGCAAATGTCAGCTAGCTTCTAAACTTCAGAATTCGCATGTTTTTGAAAAGCTAAGTAAAAGCTAAAACTTGTCTGCGGAACAACGGACTTCCATGAATAATGGTCCAGTTTTGTTACTTAAGACCATATATAATTTTATGCATTGAAACTGTTTCCTGTTACCGGTTGCTACTGATAAAAAGAATGAACATGAATAGAAACTTGAAAAAGTTGGGTCAGCTTTTTCAAGTTTTAATGTTATGCCTGCAAAAATCACCGTTAAAATTATTATACTGAGTGCTCCCTGATAAAATTTCTTTGACATCTTCTTCATAACAAACTCTACAGGAACATTTTGTGAATGTGTAAAGGCACTCAGTAATGCCCTTAACCCTCTCTCAAAGTCCTAAGAGTGTCTGCCATCAATTTTCTCCTTACTGAATCAATAAATAATCAAGAGAAATCGTTAGGAGAATTAACAAAATGATCACCAGACTCGGTGTTCCCTGGTGAAGTTTGTTTGATATTTCTTCATAACTCTATGGGAGCATTTTGTGTTAGGGTAAAGGCACTGAGTAATAACCTTTAGAATAATTGACTGAAAACAGCAATGTCCTCATGACATGTAGCCCTTTAAGTAATAGGGTAAAATTTCATGCATTTATTTAATGCCATAAAGAATATACAGTGTGCAGCCAATTAGAGGGCTGGTGCCATTGCATATTCTGATTAATCTCTCAGGTTGTATTCAACAGTAGTTCACCAGGGTAATCAGCTAAAAAGTGAGACAATCTGCACAAAAAAAGGCAAACTATTTGAAAAGTGGCCTTCTTTTGGTCCATGTATAATTATAAAGTCACCTTTTGATCAATAAATAATACCAAAATTATTGATCAAAATTTTTTCTGTATTTTTCTCTTCTCTTTTGTCCATCTTAACTAGCTTCTAAGCCAATAACTGGTATCAAGCATTGTTATGTTAAGTTCAAACATTTTTGAATAAGTTGTTGTTGATGTTGTTGAAGAACACTTCACATATCCAAAAAGAAAACATGTATTTCTGGTATATTTTGTGATTATGGAGTGAAGTAGAGTACATGACGGTGAAGCCTTGTCGACACTTACCCTCTTGTCTTTTGCTGAAGTGTTATAAGATAAAACAGCCTCTGTTGTCACCACAAACAGTATTACACTGTCACTGGTCTGTTTGAAGGCAAGTCCTACAACAGATAGAATTATAAGCATACTTGTGGTTAAGGTTACCCACTGTAAATAATCCAGACTATAAGCATATTTAGTCAAACTTTATTAGTAGCATAGTGCAATGAGTACATTAAATTTCTACCAATGAAATTAATAATAGTGTGTTCTCAATAATATCATTCCATAACAGTTTAAAATTAATGTGCAAAAGTCACTGTGAGCAAAGATGACAAGAAAATGTGATTTGTAACCCCAGAGTCAATTTTGGAGACATAAAATGAGACAATTTTTAACTTTTGAGTCTAAGGATGATAAAGTTGCTTTTCAAGGAACATCTTCTTTCACAAACAAAAAAGGCATATGAAATTCAAAGATGGACAAAATTAATTATAATAAAACTGTACCTGTCACAGCGTGCTTATCATGATGAACTATTCGCTGTTTTGTGTGCCTACAATCAACAATAAAAGTAAAGCAGTTTTAGGCATTTACAACCAAGACTTATTCTATCAGGGTTTTTCCATTCGAGTAACATTAAACTGTATAATTACCCAGGAGTATGGGCAATATCTCAAACAACAAAGTCAAGTTACAAATAAGCAATTACATATTACTACTGTTAGAATTAAACAAAATAGCAACAATTCTATCAAAAAACTAAATACATATAAATGAAAGTCATGATCCTTGTAAGTAAATTTTAAGTCTCCCACATTTAACAAGTGAATTTTTCCTTTCTATAATAGTTAAGGCTAAACAAAAATCCATTGAAAAAATAATAAACAACAACATGATAAATTTTTTCTCTACTATTGAAAACTAGTTTGAGTAACCAAAGCTGAAATGATAAAAATAATGATAGGGGCAAGAATCAATGACAAAATTGTTGAGACATTGTCCTTAGAATAATGGGGTAAGTTCGGAGAACACAAAAAACTACACCCCTGCCCCTCCCCTCTCCATTCAAAGTTGGGGTGTTTGTTGTTTTCTACCAGTAGCTCAAACAGCATCACAACATTGCATGGAGGGCAGGAGAAGGGGTAGGGAGGGGGAAGCTTTATAACCTTCACACCGGATTAAGTTGCAAGCAAAAAGTGCTCTCTTTCAGACTAGTTTTGCAATTTTTATCAGTTTCAGCTAAAACTTTGCATGAAAATAGAAACTGACTTTTGACATAACAAGTCAGCAACTTTGAAAGAGTACTCAGAGGTGAACTGAAATGTGAAAAACTAAAATTTGAAAACCTCATTTAGTTGCAAAGAAATGACATTCTAAAGATCACTAATGTTTCTAAAAATAGTAACAAAATGGCGGGAAATTTGAAATTCATTGCCTTCAGGGCAGAGCATCTTATCTAATTTTGTCTCCGATTTAGAAGCTTTATAACCTGTCTCTTGTGATGTCTCCTTTGTAAACAAGAACGGTGCCATCTGCAAATCCTACAGCCATCTGAGTGAGATTCTCCATAACAGCAAGACAGGACACCTGAGGTAAATATTATCAATTTAATTGATGCAAGCTCCCCTTAAGATTAGGAAACCCTTGGATCTCACTACAGTTGAACCTTCATTAAGCTGCCACCCTCAGGGTAGCATCCAAAGAAGTTTGTCATAAATTAGAATAATCTTTAGCAGAAACATCACTTTATTTTGAAACAAACACACAACAGGATCAGCATTACTGATCCACAATATGTCGTCACCTTGTATCTCAAACTGTATAAAGAGCTTTGGCGTTTGTTCCCAGATTAACTGTCTGGTTACATAAAGGCCCAAGCATTTTCAATGTAGGCTTCCTTTTTTTTCAATTGAGACTCATTGGTTATAGACAGCCAGGGACTCATGATTTTTCACAAGATGAGTCCCAAGACACACCATAACTATTTGCAACAAAATCACTGTTTTAGGCATGGGCATGTGACATGATGAACCAAAAGAATATCTGCACAATTAACCCTTTAAGCCCCGGTATCCACATAGAAATTCTCCAAACTGCTCTCCATACATTTCCTTAAACAATCAGCTGTGAGAATTTGATAATAGATCAAGGCATTTTCTCTTGGATGATCATTTTATTAATTCTCATAACTTATCTCTTGACAGTGTATGGATATTGTTAAGAGAAAATTGATCTTTGTCACTATTGGGACTTGAAGGGTTAAAGGGCTAGAAGACCACATACCGGAACTGGCTTGTTTCCTGGAATAAGACGCTGCATGCAGCAACAAACAGGATTGCCATACTTATCAATCTGAATATAAAGTGATGATATTACCATTCAATTACACGAAATTACAACTGTGTACTTCAATATTTATCTTGAGGTCAATTTACGCGATACAACAGAGTGTACAACTTCATTGCATGCTATGCGCTTACGATACAGAGCTGTTTCTAAGATTTCAAGATGCTGGGTACATAAACAGGTACAGCTGTAGGCGGGGAATCAAATTGCTATGTATGTTCCTATGAAAGTAGCTGGGGGGGGGGGGGGCAAATTTTATAACTAGCCCCCCGCCCTTAATTTTTGACAGACCTTCAAAAACTTCAAGCCCTGGGCTGAAAAAAATTATTTCTGGTAATGTTTTGCAAGTTGAATTATTAACTAAAAATTTCTTTTATTACTTGAGGTACATTTACGCAAAAAAACAGAGGTAACACATTTATGTCAGCCTTGTCGCTTACGGAACAGAGCTTTTTTTAAGATTTAAAGATGGTGGGTAAAAAAACAGGAACAGGGGGAGGGGGGGAATAAAATTGCTATGTATTTTCCTATGAAAGGAGCGGGGGGGGGGGGGGTCACATTCATAACTAGCCCCCAGCCCTTAATTCATGACAGTCCTACAATAAATCCAAGGCATGGGTTGAAACATGTTATTTGCGTGCATGTGTTGCAAGTTTGATTCACATGACACAACTTCTCTTGTAAGCTTTTCAAAAGCATATTACATGCATCAAAGAAAAACACAGCAATTTGTACCTTGTCCAAATTCCAAACTCGAATTATAGGATCAACTCCATCAACTTCATCTTCCTGAATCAAGATTTAGATGGATTAACATTAATATATGAATTGATACAAAGCTGTTGCCCATAAGGTGATACCAGAAATTTGTAATTTTGTCATCACTACATCTGTTCATGTATTATAAATACTCTACTGTACAAATATTGTTGTTGTTGTTGTTTTGGGGGGGTGAAGATGTGTATTTCGTTGTTGGTGTACAGGTGCAGGTATGTGCAGGATATCTCACTTTGAAGTTTGCTTGAAAATGAAGGGTAAAACAGCTGTCCATGGCTGCCGCTGTTCAGTTGATATAGCTGTGTGTGTGTGTGTGTGTGTAAGGTAGTTGCCAAGCAGTAGGTTAGTGCCTGTCTGTCACTTGCTCTTATGAACTTTGTCAAAATTGAAAAAGACTTAGTTGCTTTTAATACACAGGTGTCAAATGCTTACATAAGTTAAAAAACTTACCCCAACTGTGAACAAAAAGTTTTGCTGTTTTAATTGATAAAAATGGGACACACGGATTTCATAGGCCTGGAAGGATGTGATGGTTAAATCACGACCCAAAAAGTGTACAAAGCCAGCTGAATCTATGAAAAATTCAAGACAAAAAATACATTTTTTATCATAACATTTTAAACTTCTAAAATATTGGACTAGAAAATTTATGACGGAACATAGAAGTAGCTCTGAGGTAAAATTTAAAGTACCATGAAATTCCCACTGAACATGTACAATGACCTTAGTTAAAGGAATCAAGGAGGAATCCAAATTGCAGAAGTTTCGAAAGCTGTTTTTCAAGCTGATCAGATAAAGATCTGACCACTGAACCAGTAATTAGTTAATAAATAATAATAAATTGATTATCAATCACTGCTTATCAAAAAAGTTTTTCTGACTCCTTTAAATGACTCTTGGGCTACTGATTTCCTTTGCACCCTGATTAGAACTGCACCCACAACCTACAGATTAGAACAACCATGCTTGCCCTGCCAACTGAGCTGTGAGGTCAGATTGGTAAAAGAGGGGGCTTTAGAACATTCATGGTTCTTAAGAGTTGGACCCAGTTGTTTTAAAGGCGGATAATGGAATGGTTTCCATGATAATTATCTGCTAGACAGACTTCGGGTTTATCTGGTGCATAGCAGTATCCAAAATTTGAACAACTGGAGCTTAAAACTGTGTCATAAAATTTCCACTGAGGATCAAAATCACTAAACTGTTACCACCCTGAAAAACCACTAATTGTTTGCACCTAAATTTTTTAATAACTCAGATGACCATTTCAAGCAACCTGTTTGGTCATGTGATTTTCGCTAAATAATTAACAATAATATTAATAATTGTAGAAACACATAATATTATAACAACAGTTTTCAGTTCAAATGCTCTAAAACTGCAGGAAAGAATTCTGTTGAAACATCTCTGCCTCCTCTTAACATGTCACTAATAATAAATGACTGTTCTATTGACTTTCTATTATTTGCATTTTCTGCAAACTCTTAGTTCATGATAAACAGCCTATATGGAGCTACAAGGTCAAGAAGGATCAGAAAGGGTTTTGGGAAATAAAATACTCTACAGGCATAGCCAAAATATTAAAAATGACATTACCTCCGATAACTAACTGCCCTCTTCCACTTGTACAAGATGTGATGTCAACATCCTGTTCACAAGATCAGATGAAAAAAAACAAAATGAAACAGCTTAATTCAAATTACACGAACTCTGCAACACCATGAGTCATGGCGATGTTATAAAAGATGCATGCATTCTGAGGATGGAGTCACAGTTCAATTCCACCTGTTGAAAGCAAAACTGAAAGAACTGAATCACATGTATCTGCACTTTTGTTTCATCTTCCATTCAGATATTTAATTTAATTTAATTTATTCATTTTATTATGTATTTTATTTCATGAAAATTTAATTTTTCTTAAGTATAAGGGGTCAATAAAAATTCTTGCTGTTGCTGTCATTCATTTATAAGCTTAATTCATGATCACTGCTCAATAATCTTATCACTTGAGAAGGTACAACAAGCAGCTGGCTTTGTTAGTGGAGACTACCATAGAGTCAAGAATGACGATCATGATTAGTGACATCAGTTGGCAGTCGCTTGAGGAGTGCAGGGCAATAGGCCGCCTGGTGCTTATGTACAAAATTGTTCACGTTCTTGTTGATATCTCCTTGCACTTCACACCTCCTGCCAAGTGGTCGCCAATCAAGTCATACTTCTGATCTGTCGTATCTTTGACTACAATCCAATACCAACAGTTACCGATCTTCCTTTTTTCAATGCACAATTCCTCAATGGAACTCTTTACCACTAACTTTGCATTGTGCATCCTCAACCCAGTCATTTAAAACTGCCTTATCTAATTTAAACATTTCAAGGATTATTAACACTAGCCACTATTATAACAAAGACCACTGATCATACTTCTGAATCTTATATATCCCGCATGGGGGATTGATACGGTTATCAATTTTTTTTTATCATTTGTAATATTAATCATTAAGAAGAAAGATAAGTGAAAAAGTTTCACTTATCTTTATTCTTAGGTGTTTAAAAAATTTAATTTGATCTGTATAATAATAAGAATAAGAAAAATAATAACAATAAAATTACTACCAATAATTAATAATAATAATAATAATAATAATAATAATAATAATACAGGAAATCCATTTTAAAAAATGGCTGTTCTCTTGACTGTCTTGAAAATTGGATAGGATGATATGTGTGCGATCCATTGTATTCATGCATGCATATTCATTCTTAGAATATAATCATTATCACTGAGATACTGGCCTCTCCATAACCTACTGCAAAAACGTGAGCAATATAACATCGCCATACCTTTAGCGCCGAGAATGGTTGGTTTGTTCCGGGGTCTTTGAGGATTTCCTTGTCAAAAAAGTTGAACCTGCGCCACTAAAACAGAAAAAAAACCTTCTTCGTCAGGTTGTTATGCCGATAAACAAATGAAGCAATCCTTGTAAATCTAACCTGTAGCAGAGCCATGGCGTACACACAGCCCCTCTAACGATTATCTCGTCTATGTTCCGCCATATTGTTTTCTTGAACCGAAAGGTGTGATGGGTACAAGACGTAATCACCATATTTGGACCATTTGATTGACAGATTGCGTAAATTTGGTGAAGTCACGCAAAGCACGCGCAGACGAACCACTGAAGGAGCGGCCATTTTCTTTTGTTCTTTAGCACTTCATGATCTAAACGACGTGGACGCGAGACATCGTAATTTGCGGAGTTTTTTGTGGCGTAGACTATAACATTCCTAAAGGGCATGTCAACGACTATTGAACAGGTAAAATTTTTGTTTATCTACATTTTCTTTCGCTGATCTTTACTGCCTGCGAAAGCAACAACGACTAATTCAAAATTCTAATTTCCTCTTGCATTCCTCGATTTGCGTTCCTCGTGTATCATCAGCGACCCAAGGACCACGGAGGAAAAGGTGGGTTATTTGCCATTTTATAACATTAGTTAGGCGTAAAAACGACTACTCTATCTAATTAATCACCTCACTTATCACCTTTAAAAATGTATTTTAGGTTACGTGAATAAAAACGGAGAGTTACAAAATGTCGCTCCCGAAGACCTCGATCGATACCTTCATCCGGGGACGAAACAGGTGAGATTTTTTTCGAATATTTGCTTTTGATATTATTTCTTTCTGCATCACTTGCGCATTTATTGCATCCCTCCGTTAATACCTTCTCGCAAAGTTATTAAGACTTATCTCTAACTGTTGCCATGTTTTTATTTCTTTTCCCCCGATTTCGCGACGACGTCATGGCTCCTGATTATCTTTCGCTGTCGATCATTCACGTTTAGGGCAACGACAAGCAGTTGAATTCTCAACCAGATAACACGAGTTTGCCAAGTCAATTAACGGACACTTATTTGCCTCCTTTTTACCCGAGTACAACCACTGGATCGAACACTGGATTGCCTCCGATGCCTTTTCCATATCTGAACGCGGCGGGAATTAGCGACGGCACTTGGTCAACCGGTGTGCCATCGTTAAATCCCAATACGCTATTTCCATCTTCGGGTTTCAGTGCGGTCGGAAACGGAGAACAGCTTTTACCCGATCAGATGTTTAATCACAATGCAGGAGTTGCAGTTTCTACAAATGCTTATTTAAGCAGTTTGGGACACAATTCCCAGGGAGCCCCGGCTTTGTATTTCCCGGGAACATCAACTGATATCTCGTGGGGAGAGCAAACACCAACTTCAGGTCCACCTTTGCTGCCGAATTTTTACCAACCACCACCACCCCCTACTTCGGAACATGGAACTTTAAATCCAATTGGGGTCGACATAGACTCTCTGAAGGGAAAGGAGTTTGGTTCGACAGGCAATGTGGAAAATGCGTTATCTAGTTTGGCTCTGGGTGTCAATGACAAAGGAGTTGAGGGATTGAATGATAAGAGCAAGTTGTCGTCTCAAGTGACTAGTGCATCAAGTGTTAGTGCTTCAGAGACCAAACCAAAATCTTGGGCTGCAATTGCTAGTCAACCAGCCAAACCCAAACCAAAACTGCCTCCTCCAAAACCTAAACTTCCACCTCCTCCTACCTCTCAACAAGCTGTTTCAACATCCAAAGTAGAATCTGGAGCATGGGGTAACGCTGTGAAATCAGGGGCCACTAAGCCTGCCATTGGTCGCGGCACAAGGCCACGACCTAATGCAGCAGGAAGCAATATGTCTGGAAATCCAGGACCTTCCAATACACCTGTGACTCCATCGGAGTCCGTGCCGATTCTTGAAAGGCTGAAGGCTAAGAACTGCTACAATCCAAGGGAATTTAATCTTGTTCAGAAAAATGCTCGTTTCTTCATCATCAAAAGCTACAGTGAGGATGATATTCATCGGTCAATCAAATACAGTGTCTGGACAAGCACAGAACATGGCAACAGGCGATTGAATGAGGCCTTTAAGGAGCAGCAGCGTGGCAGTGCTCCCACATACCTGCTGTTCAGTGTCAATGGCAGTGGACACTTCTGCGGAATTGCAATGATGATGTCTGAAGTTGATTTGGAGATTGAGACTGGAATATGGTCTCAAGACAAGTGGAAAGGCAAGTTTGAGGTGAAATGGTGTTATGTCAAGGACGTGCCTAACAATGCGTTGCGTCACATTCGTTTGGAAAATAATGATAACAAACCTGTGACCAATTCCCGTGATACTCAGGAAGTGCCTCCCGAGAAGGGGAAACAGGTTTTGAAGATCATTCATTCTTACAAGCACCAGACGTCTATCTTTGATGACTTTGGCCATTATGAGAAACGTCAGGATGAGGAATTCAAAAAGGTTAGATTTTTTTAAGTACATCTACCATTAAATGTATTAAATAAAACTAAATTTTTGTTTTATTATTAGTATTAATTTTCTTTTGGGTTTTATATGTGAAGTATGTAAGCTGTTATTGCAACTAAGTGTTAAAGGGAAAGTGAAAGGTCTGGCCCCAGTTGTTCAAAATGTGTCTAGCACTATCTAGTGGATAATGCAGTCATATAGGTATTAATTTTTCCAATACTTACCGTATTTATTTGATTAACCGCCCTGGGCGTTTATTAAATTTTTGGACCTTGAGAGTGGGCACTTATTCGAGGTGGGCGCTTATCTAAGGCTGGGCGTTTATTAAATTTTCACCATTTTCAGCAATTAGTGAAGTATTTTTACTTTGCAACAAAATAGTAAATGCCTGTAACAAAACGTGAAGAAGCAACAACGCAAGTTTTCTGTAAAATACTCGGGGAACACTACGCCTTCGGGAAAGTCTCTTATTAGTACTTATTCAATTTCAATTTCAATCTCATTATCACTCAAGTAGGTGGAGTGGGGATGGGCGCTTATTTGGGTTTGATTGGGAGGGTTGGGGTGGGCTCTTATTCGAGGCTGGGCGTTTATTAACTTTTTCTGCCTTTAGGAAGGGTGTTATTCGAGGTGGGCACTAATTCGAGGTTGGGCGCTTATTCGAATAAATACGGGTATCCACTAGATAATGATTTATTGAACAACTGCAAAGCTGCTGCCTAATGGGTAACTGGTTGCCAGAGGCTGCCTAAAATTTGTGATTCTTATGGCAATAGCCTTCTATGCCTACTTCCAATGAAGGAATGACAGAATTCCCTGCTCATTTTGCACTTTTGAAATGAAAACATAAAACATGTGTTCATCGGCCGTAGGCGAAAAGCTTTTGCTGATAAAAGGAACAAACAAGCACTTTTCTGGAAATTTGAAACCCAATGGGCTGCTAAAAAATGTGGCTCGGGCTCCTAACTTTCTATTTTAGGAGCTCAAAGGGCTCCCTAAACATTTTCTTAGGCAGCAACCTTGAACTGGAGTCTGGTCATAATATGTCTTTCGGTAAATTATCAAACAAAATACTGCTTTACCAAAAATATTAAATATATCTCATGGTGTGGAAGAAACTCCATGTAATAGACATTTCCACTGGAAAGTACCAGTGCAATGTACATGTAGGTAGAAAAAAGTACATTTAGAACATGCATTAGTACCTGAATGTACATCTCAGTAGCTGTTGAAATTTGAATGGTCACTTTTCCAGTAGCTTATAACTTTTACATTTATGTCATTGATAACACCAAAATATTTTAGTATCATTTTAATGTAGCTTAATGTAACTTAGGCAAAGTTAACCTGGACCAAATGCTGGTCAGCAGTTTTCCCAACTATGCTTGGGGCAGCCCGATGGCCTTTGCAGGGGCACCTCATGACCTGTTTGTACATACTTGCTTGCAGTTCTTTGGAAAGTGTATTTGCTATGGCCTTGTTGCTTGCTTGCCATTTTTGTGCTGTGTTTTACTCTTTTTCGAAGAATGTGGTTTAGTTTTATCTTTAGTTTAAATTTTAGTTCTCTTTGTTTATGTCTGCAATGAGATTGAAGAAATTAAGTTTAAACCAAGAAGAAGATTGGACCACAGAATGCATGTACAGTTTACATATAAAATAATTGTGTAATACTTGATTCGCTGCACGTGACCTCTAGCTTTTAGTTTTTGAAAACCTTTTTTTTTTCTCTGAGTGAGCATCATGTGCAATATTGTTAGATTTTTTTTCTGGGTGATCATTAATTTTTCCCTAGTACGTAAACGTTTTGGCTCTTCGCAGGACTCAAGAAAAATCCCAGCGGCCTCCTGGGATGAGTAGGTTTTCTTGCTGGGCAACTAACTCTAACAAAATCATTAACTACGACCAGTAAGTAGTTGCCCTGGGCAAGTAAAACATGAGAGCTAATTGCCCAAATGACAAGCTGGAATTCAAAGGGGTTTTCGAGCCCTGCATCGATAAGGAAGAAGTGAAATGTGAATTCTATCAGCATGTATTTTATTGGTATGTTGTTGAATTCCTATGGAGTGATCATTCCATGGAAGTTTTTTGGCAGTTCTGATTGCATGGTACAATTTCTTTTCAGTATTTTGCAAAATGAATTCTGTGATTTAGTGTGTTTTGGAGGGTAAAAGTGCAAATTTTATCTGTAGTAGAAATCAAAACATGCAATGAAAAGAGCATTCAGACTATGAAAGTTCAGCCTTACTTGAATTTTGGATCACAGTATTAGATAATAATTTTTATATGGTTGTTACTGTACAAAACCTCTTTGGCTCCTTGTCTTTGTATTACCAGAGTTTTCACTAAGATTTCAAGTTGCCGGGTAAATACAACAAGTAGGCAGTGAATCAAACTTCTAAGGATTTTGGTTACATGTGTGTTATTTCTTCTATTTTCCCATGAAAGTAGCTAGAGATAAGATACTTTCAGCCGTCCGCTTTTTTCCCAGTCTCTCCCTCGTTCACTTCTTCACTGCTCGTTTGCTTTTTTTGTTTGTTTGCACTGACAGAGAGCCTCTGCTTATCAGTTTACTGTTTCAGTATGTATTCACATGAAAAAGTAAAGAACTATTGATTCAAGTTCTCTTTTAAACTTTTTGGACAGGGAGGCAAGAAAGTGGTTGGAGTCAAGGCACCCTAGAAGGCAGAATCAGGGCTTAAACCATAAAGCAAGTGATATCATCCCTTAAACTTTGACTTTATATTATTCACTGTAAGTTGGGTGAAGGAACCTGAAGGATTTTGGTCATTCAAGAAGCAATGTGATATTCCTATAATGTTGGCAATGGATAGCAAGCGAACTGATCAGAATAGACTTAAATGCTAACAGTCTTGGGCAAGCAACATTTACCAACTGAATGCAGTGTTTGGTTCATGGTGCTGTAGTCACAAAAATCTGTAGTTTTTTTTTTTTTAATTATTTTCCTTTCTAGAGTCTGAACTGAATTTTGCCAGTAACTCTAACATGCAGCTTCCTTGTAATGTAATTGTAGAAGGGTTCCCATTCACAATAAACAACTATCATAACAATTGTGTTGATGTTCAATTTATTGTAGGGATCTTCAATAGATCCAAAAAATGTAGATACCGTTAATGATATAATATTATTGATCCCCCCCCCTCCCTGCTCCATGACAATTACTCCAACATTGCCAATTATTCAAAAGACAGGTGCGAGTCTGATAAACTACATGAAAGCCACAAAGTCAGAAAGAGGAAACCAGATTTTAAAAAATACTCGAATGTGGTGTTGATCGGGCCTAAATTATACAAGATACAGCCATTCAGAAGTTGCAAATTCACTATTACAAATTATGTAGACTTTTCGACAGTGTGGCTGGCAATCTACAGCTGTATACGTCTCTTGGTAAATTTTCAAGGTTTTAAATGGCCATATCTTTTTTGGTATTGACTCGATTAACACCAAACTTAAGAATATTCCTTACCTCGGTGTGCTCTTTCTGACTGTGGGGGTCATGTGTTGTTTATCCCCATAATACATGGACTTGCACCCAGCGCCCCTCAAATTGAAATTAGGCAATGCCAGGATATAGCACAAAGGGGTGAAATAATTCCATCTTGCTTGATTTACAAAGGCATGCCTCATGCTAAGCTGTTAGGTCTTGAAATTAACGCTAAACTTTTTAAAATTTTTCTTTTGGGAAACTTAGTCTAAAAAAGATGATTCAGAGAACTGGAATATAAAAGTAAGAAAGATAATATCGTCAGTGTCCTCCCATTAAAAAAAAGCTATAATATTGTCTTACAACGGCCTGATAAGAAATGTATTGCATTATGTCAGTACACTTTGGAACCAGGACTTTTGCTGTAGTCATTGAACCTGCATGGAGAGCAGTATGCAAGGGTATTTTACTCATAACCAGGCGCCTAGTGTTGAACAGTCTGCAGTGACTTCTTTTTATTGAACAAGTGAAAATATCTAATCGTTCAGTATGCCATATAAACGGAGCAATGGTAAAGTTCTTATAACGATCGATTTTGACATACATGTTAAAATCTCGTTCCCAGGGTCCTCTCTCTCTTGCCACGGCGGCCGAGTAGGGGAAGACCCTGGAAACGAGGTTGTTAAGTTCCCCCATATACTGAAGCCTCTTAAAAAAATAACAATCATTAAAATAAACATTATGGTCATTTGTGTTGTAGTTAATTTTTTACCTCGGGTAATTTTTGCTTTTCTTTTGTTTTTGGGTGAAATAAAAAATTAACTACAACATATTCGACCGGGGGATGCTACCTTCACTGTATACTATTGATCTCTGTAACTGAATAAACAGATTGCGTCGTAAATTCCCTGGTATATTTGTTGGCATTGACCATACATTTATTCCTGTGTCAAGGGTAATGACAAAACAATATAATAGTTGTAGAGCGCTAATTCCCATTGGTCCAGTAGCGCTTTACATAATAAAGAATACCCCTAACAAAAAACTAACAAAGAACGATTTACAAAAATTTTGTAAACACGAACAAAGCAGCTGCACAAAGTAAATTGTATTTTTACTCGTCGTAAACAGAACATCGTAAATATTAATCGAGAATCTGCTTGTTAACACTGGATTTAAAAGGACCAAGAGAGATGCACTGTTTCAGCCCCCAAATGAAAGAGCCAATTAAGCCCAGAAGGGCCAAGAATGATTCGGCCTCTCTTGGAGCCAGTTGAGCACAATTTAAGCCAAAACAGCCCCGTTTAATGTTGGCTATTCCAGGCCAGTTTGCAGTGGGTCTCATTCAGCCCGTTCTAGGCCTATATTGGCCCTGATTAAGCAAAGTACCAAGCTTTTTGAAAAAAATCCACTTTTCAGCATAAAACAACCAAATCTGGCGAAAATGTAAACTCAGGTGAAAAAATCGACAAAAACAATTTTTAGGTTTTTTGATTAAGGAAGCAAACTTAGACCCCAAAATTGGTCAAAATGGGACTGCATTTCACGCACCGAAACGGTTTTACAGTAGTGAAGCGTGTTCTCACTAGTCACTTACTCAAGTCACCAAAAAAACGTCGGTAAACTAATTTCACGTTCTTGAGTGTTTTAATCCGCTAAAAGGAATTTTGAGTCTGTTAATCTTTTGGTATAAGAGATTACAACACCGTGTACTAAAGAAAACAGACTTGGAGCCAGAACATTAGTTTGCTCTGAGTTTAATGGGCTGTTTACGTTATTAAACGTCAGTAGATTACCGGAAATGTCGGTAAATGACTAAAAACAAGAAAACAGGTTTTTATACGGTTTTGTCCCTAATCCGCCAAAAGGAAACGTAAGTTTGCGACACATCAATTGTTGTTTTATCAAGTTTTTTTTTCTTCCGAACGTCCACTCAATGACTTGAATAATCGAAAACATTAGTACTGAAAACGAGTAATAATATATACTATGAATTTTACGGCTATTCGTTGATTTCCAATTAGAAAGCAATTAAACATAATTTTAAGAAATAAGAGAGATTTATAATCAAATTCAAGTTGTCTTGCTCAAAATAGGAAACAAACACATGAAAAACTGTCCAAACCAGTTCTTATATGGATGAAACTAGCGTGAAACTAATTGTTTTGTAGATCAGAAGTATATATCCCCGGATTCATATACTTCTGTGTAGATATGAACTGAAGAGACAGCTGAAGAGACACGGATAAGGAAAAACTTGCAGGCCACTTGATCCAGACCTTTAGATTAAGGGGGGGGGGGGGGGGAGGAGAAAGGAGAGCCAGGACAAGGAAAGGAGAGTGTAAGTAAGAAAGAGTCTTGTACCCCGTTGTGGGTAAGTTTGTGTGGGGGGGGGGGGGGGGGGGGGGTTGCGGTCATCCAGACCCTGAGATAAGCGGGAGGTGGGGGCGGTCTCTAGTCTTTTTTTAAACTTTATAGAAGGACATCTGAGAGCCTTCCTGATGGTAACGACATTTCATTCTCATTGAATTCATTTCTTCTTTATTTCTTTTGGTACAAGTAATTTCAGTGGCTTAAGCTAAGATTGAGCGAAATTCAGGAGAACTCAATCTTTGTCCCGGCCCTTAGAGGAAGATATTGGAAAGCCAGTTAGGACCGCAGTCATAAAATTAATTGCTAATTAATTACCGAACATTTTTGACAGAATTTCAAACTGTCCTCTCCGAGAACGAAGAGAACACTAGTAATGGCGTTTTAGAGCATCAACCGTTAAAATTCTTTGGGGGAGCACGCCCCCATACCGCTTTGGTAGCTCGTGACGGAGCTACCAGACTCTCGGAGCTCGCGTTATTCCTCTACGGTTAAAATATATACTTGAAAGGTTGGACAGTCTATAAATAATTGGCAATTAAACATTCATACTGGACGAAAAATGGATTTGGACTAATTTGCTCCCTGCAAATTTGTCGCAAAATTATGAAAACTGAGGAGTAAATCTGGGGGCAAAGATGGCAAATGCCACATTTGCCTGCAGGTTATTTACACCACCTGTTTTTGGTATATATGTATTTGCAAATGTGGCATTTACCATCTTTGCCCCATAATTTACTGCTCAGTTTTTACATTTTTGCGACATATTTGGATACCTTGCGAGCAGAGGTTAGTCCAGGCTTTGATCCATTTTTTCGTCCAGTGGATCAGCAGGAAAAACAAATATTCAATTTATCGCACGTACTGCATTAAGGCACACATTAGGTTCATTTCAAGTGCCGCTTAATGACAGATATCAGTAGAGACCAAATGCTAATAAAAATCAGATTATCGCTTTAAGTTACATTAATGTAACACATTATATAAATCCCGACTTAACCATCCGTTGCATGCAAACCGAAATATACTAGACAACACTATTGCCAATTCGGGTAAGTTTGACATCTAGTTGAACGCTATAATTCGAATACTGACATTCACCCGACGATTGAAAAGGGATAGTGGTAAGTATATTAACCCTAAAAAATTGCAAGAAAAACTTGTAAAACAAAATTTAGCAGCTAAGTTAGATTTCAATATCTATAGTTGACTATTGAGTATCAAAGAACTCATTTTCATCGTTTTCCGAAGGTGCGTCCATCATGCCAAACCGGCGATCGGTAAGAAACCAACGAACTTAAACCCGAGGAGAAAATGAAACGTCAGTCATCGTTCGATTGAAACAAAGTTTCTAAACGAAACAAAGCCTTCCACTTTTTTCCATCAAAATATAACTTGTAGACTTCATAGTGAAGTGGAACTGGAAACAAGAATTTTTAAAAATGGAACGGGAAGGTTCTGTCGGGCCGTCTGACTAGTCGAAGAAGATCTCCTTTGGAAGTGATCTGTACTTGACCGCGGGGCGAAACAACTTCTCTCGACTAAAGCGTCCTATTCTATTTATTTTCCGACCAAAATTTTCGGAAATTCTGCTTGATGAAAAGCATCCTTACGGCAGCCCATCGAATGTATTCTTCCTCACCCAGTTTTGCATTTCTCTTGGGAAGAATTACCGTCGAAACAGAAATTGCATAAGTTTGGGGAGAAAAGAAAATATTAGAAAGAGGGCATTAGTAATCTCGCTCTCGCAGGGGAGGTGATCATTTTTCCGATCGCTTTTTCAGTTTTAGTATCTCCAGCATTTTGCGATTTTTCCCTTTTTCCATTTGTTTTGCTTTTGTTTTGCTTCTTGTTATTTTGTCGCGTTTGGTTGTCGGTTTTCGACCAAAATAAAAACAGTAACGTTAATTATTCGGTTATGCAATCACAATTCTGCAGCCTTATTTAAAACTGACAAAAAATAAAATAAATCGGTTTCTTTTTGCCACTTATTGCAGATGCAACAGTATCGTATATGTAGTAAAGGAGTCAGGTTTTCGACGCATTCTGTGGCTGATTAGCTATAGTGTGAAACTTAAATAGAAAACAAACATTTTCCATTCGATTAATCATGCAATTTTGCTAGAAATTGAACAACTTTTCCTCTGCTTCCCTCCCCTTTCAAGTGCTAAACAATCCACGCCTGAGTTGAAACAACCTTCTCAGTACTTGATCGTGTTATGAGTTTCTTTTTTTTTACATTCATTTAATCTTGCTTTCTGTTGTTTTAGAAGGGTATGAAGACTGCAGACAATTCTAGCCAGCCTCCATATCAACGCTGTTTGATTACAGTCCTCCCTGAGGAACTTCAACTTCCAGCGAGAGATTTTGCCAATCATGTTGTCATTCCCATTAACGTCGTTTTGATCACTATGGCAACCCTTTGTAATGGGTTTGTTGTCATCACTGTTGCAAGAACCAAGTCTTTACAACGACCTTCGCTGCTGATGCTGTGTAGTTTAGCATTAACAGATCTACTCTATTCATTTTATTTCCTTTCAAGATGTCTTGCGTTTTTGGCGGACGAGTTTTTTTGTCCAAAACTGCCGAGTGTTGAAACAAGCGCGTTTTCCGCCCTCTGTCTCATAGCAACCCTTGGGACTTTGGCAGTCATCAGCCAAGATCGTTACTTAGCATTGAATAAACCCTATTGGTATCGCAATCACGTGACTACCTCACGTGCATTTTACTTGATATGTGGAACTTGGTTGGCTAGCGCCACTATTTCAATTTTGATATACTTCTCGAGAAAGTTTGTTCTCCCGATTGCTATTGCGCAAATCTTTTTTCTTTTGTTTTGTGTTGTTTGTATCTTAATGATTATCTTTTCATATCTCGGCGTGTTTTGCAAAAGAAAAACACCTGTGAATGTAATTCTTATCCCCGCCATATTGAAAAGAGAAAAACAAATGGCTAACACTGTTGCGGTTATTCTTTTCCTGTTTTTAGTAACCTTTATTCCTGGTACACTTCTGGCATTGGTTCATGCTTTTGCCCAAAATGTGAATGTACAGGCTACTTTCCCTTTTTCTGGCTTTTTTCTGTTACTCAATTCGCTTTTAAATCCTTTACTGAACTTCGGACGGAGCAAAGAAATGCGACGAGCACTTAGACATTTGTTAAGACGCCAACAAGAAGTACAGCCATTAGCAAGGCTAAGATTTCAAACGGCGAGAACAGAAAGAGATGGCCAATAAAAGAACACGACAACAACGACAACGACAACAACAGCGACAGGAACAACATTAATTAACACGATCTGAGAAACAGGAACAACAGCTGAAAAACTTGAAATAACAGTAACATATAGCAACGAAGCTGTGATACGTGTGATAACATCAATGACTACTTGTGCTGCCAGTCTTTTATTCGTAGCCGGACGACTTAACATTATATACGCTAGCAACAAAGAAATATAGCCAGCAAAATCAGCAAGTAAGCAAACATCAGCAATAAAGCAGTAAAAAATCCACCAAAAACTGCAATAATGTATAGATCATCGTAAACAAATCCTCGCGTTTATCAATAAATTAAGACTAAGGATTAAGAACTTCTTAAAAAGGCCTTCCCAGCATCAAACGCATTACGGCGCAACGAACAACTGAGAAACTGTGACTCTCAAAAACTGAAATATACGCATCTCTCCGCTTTAACTTGCGTTCGTGAGAAGTAGTAATTTCTGCTTAGTTGACAGACCTCGTCCCGAAAGCTAGAAGACCCTTAGAGACGAGGATCCGATGTTTTGGGGGCTCACAGGTCCTGTAATTACCTGTAAAACTTTTAAGAAGGAACTTATGTAGTTATTAGTTAATTAACGGCTATTTCCCTGCAGTGTATATCAGTAGTCAATTCATGTACAACAGCCTTATATAACTGCTTTTCACGAGCACCTAGATTAGCTTTCGCCATTTTCAACCGGCGAGTAATAACTTAAATGACAATAAAGTGACTTTGGTATAGTTTGGTGTGGTTGTGTATAGCTGCTGTATTTGGTATAGTTTGGTATGGTTTAGTAAATTGGAGGAATTGCCATTATTAAAAAAATTTATGTCAGGAACCGATTACAAGAATTATAGATTTCGTATTGGAATAAAAGGACAGGACGGAAGATTTTGTATTAAGAAATAAAACACTTGACGAAGCGTCGGTATAATCACACATAAGAACGGTGATTTTGGCGAGATTTCTGTAACGGAGAAAAGCTGCTCCGCGCCGATCTCCTGAGTGAGTGTTACATATGGGATAGGTTCTGTGCCACACTCTGGTGCAGTGTAAACAGTATTCGGACAGTAGACGATTATAGTGAATAAGTAGGAGCGAGGACTGGAATCCACTGAGACGGAAGTGAAAATTCAGGAGTGAGGACTGGGATTTAATCACCAAGCCCTCTCGGCCAACCGCTCCGACACGATGCTCGACTGATATGTGTGAACGACCTGTTCCAGTGCTGTGGCGTTAAATGCTTTTCATACCATACCGGTTAGCTTTCGTGTCGGCACCAAAAACTAAATGGTATAATGTATACTGAACATACTCTTAGTAAAAACAAAGCTTTGATGGAGACGACCGGTGCGAGCAGATCTAAAACCTAACTTGACCAATGGCAGAGCGGCGAATTGAGCGCCGGTCCTTTTTCGCGCGCTTTCGTATTCTTATTTGATGTCTTTGATGTTGTATTGTCTTTGCTAAATCTGTTTATCAAATTACCGAAAACGTCGGTGAACTGACGAAAATTTAGGCTTTTTCCTAATTTCACGTTTTATATTTGGATAATCCGCTAATGGAAGAGTAATTTTGCGAGTGGTAATCTTTGTAATATTTTAGATTACAACTTGGAAAAAACATAAAGGAAACAAAATTGATTTTTGGTCGGTGTGCTTTTTAATGCCGAAGGATCATAAGATACATATTCAGTTTTTTCAAGTGCTACAATCGGAACCGAGAAACAATTAATACATTGCGGATTTAATTGTTAAAAGCTACATTATGTGACACATTTTATAAATCCTCGACTCGTCCACAATCCATTTCTACTGATGTTCCAACCAAATACGGTTTCTGTTTCGGATTCTAGCCAATGCTTGGTAAGTTCCACCGATGTTAGCTTATTGGAAGGTGAAAATGATTACATTTTTTATTCATTTTTTTCTTTATTTTTTTTAATATAATGTAATATGTAGTCCACCAGACAAAAAGAGGAGCTTAATAAAAAAGCGCGTGTTTCAGATTGAAATGGAATTTGAAATTTTTTAAGGTTTTTTGAGCAGAAGGTAAAACTAACCTGCGAAGCATACGTAATCCAACCCCGGCTAGGTTTAGATTTTTTCTATATTTTTCTGTGGTGGAGACTAGGGTGAATCCGGAGAACCCGGAGAAAAAAAAGGAGGATCTTATAACGCCAACGACAAACCGCCTAAACCTGCATAAACAAGTGAAAAGAACGAAACCGGGGCCTCAACCTGGGCCATGCAATCAAATGATGGTGGGATGTAGCCTGCGTAGCCGGCGAAATCGTTAGCGCGAGCAAAGTTTTGGCAAAGAGCTGCGAAGCCGTGTAGAAAACGGGAAGGAGACGCTTTGAAATCGCTTTTTCTTGCGGTTTCGGCGCTCGCTTCTCGCGGTTAAACCTCGAGAATGGAAACTTACACTAGCAAAAACAATGCCGCCAGCTACCCTTGAGGCCAGGTGGGATGCGACTAGTTCTCTCACCACCTTCCTGCGCCACCTTGTTCCCTGGCCTAGTGTTGATGTTGTTGTTAATGTCAGAGTCGTTACACTTAGTCTGTTTGCGAAAACGTTCGTCCTCTGACCGTTTCTACCGACCCAACTGACTGCTTGTGGGTCTCCAAGGATAGTTTGTAGATTGAAAATATAACTTTCTGTAAATTATAAAGTTGACGTTGTTGTTGGCTTGTCAACTAGATGCTTTATGAGAAAGAGGGAGGAGGGCCCCTCGTAATATTTCAATTCTTTACAGATATCAAATGTTTAGCGTAGATGGAAGCTCAACTTGCGTAAACATGGTTCAAATATATTTCGAATGATATAAAAAAAGAAAAAAACAAAGGGTGCAGCCGTGGCTTCAAATGTACCTTTGTTAAGGCCGGCCGGTATCCGGCTTGATTGAGACTTTTTATAAATTTACTGCCTCTCAACTTCACTACCAAAGGTTAGTCAGTTAAAGACGCCCTAAGTGGAGACGTAATTCAGTATCTATATGAATAACAGTCTTATAGAAACCAGAAACCATTGAGTTACCAACTGAACTTTCATGTTTATAGGGTCCTATGTGCGATGAAATGAGCAAGGGAATACTTTCACGATCGTTTTGTTCAAATTATACTACATTCCCGTGATTACCAATTAATATTACGGATGACAAATTACGCTCACATGCAATCGTGTTTTTCACTTGCTTTCGCGATTCAACGATAACTCCACTCACTCCGAAGTTTAGCCGCGAGCAAAATAAATTTGGTTTAAGTTCACAAGTTTCTGAGATTTTTGACAAAATGCTTGTTAGAATCCTTCTTGATGTGCTCTTTCGTGTGTTTAATTTTTTTAAGCGTCTTTTAATGACCTGACATCGTCGTTCATGACATGTTAAAATTTCGACTCCATCTTGACACTGAGACGTACGGAACGTTGCCATGGTATTATTTTATAATTTCACAACTGAAATTATACTTAACGCCGGGCCAAAATTAAGGAGTAATTTTCACTCATGATATAAAGACGAGAAAGATGAACGATAATGCAATAATTTGTGAGGAAATAAAACTTAAGACTTTTTTAAATATCTTGAATCTATTTCCTCATGCATTTTCCAGTTTATGGGGAAAAAATCCCTATAAATAAATAGAAAACTGATACCTTTCCAGGCAACTTTTCAAGCTGTTTTCGATGTTTCCGCAAACCAAGACTGGATTGTAAAACATTTATATACTGCTTATAAGCAACGACGACGTCGACGTCGACGTCGATGGCAACGCGAACAGCAAAAAAGCAATAGGTTTAGATTTGCAAAACAACAACCCTTTATCCCGCTTTTGTGCATTTCTTACCGTTGCCGGGCGACCACAACGTGAAAACGCCTAATTTCACGTTTTGTGCAGGACGTGAAGGGAGGACATTAGCAACTGTCTTTTTCTTTTCCTTAACTTTAACGAAGTCATTTAAAATTCAACTCCAAAAAGAAATTAACAACATTTGAGGAATTGAAAGGGATGGAATAAGCGCGATAAGTTTGAAGCAGGTAGCCCGTAGCCGTCGCTGTTGTTGCTACAGCTGAAGCTTCTTTTTAGCTGTGTGTTGTACACGCGTCTGTTAAATTCATCGAGTGTTCCTTATTTTTCTTATTTCTTTGTTTTTTTGTTTTTTTGCATTTTTAGTTTTCACAGAAAATAACAATGACTGCAGACAATTCCAGCCAGCCTCCATATCAAGCCTGTTTGATTACTGTCCTCCCTGAAGAAATCCAGCTTCCAGCGAGAGATTTCGCCAATCATGTTGTCCTTCCCGTGAACGTCCTTTTGATCGTTATGGCAACTCTTTGCAACGGGTTTGTTCTCATCGCTGTGGCACGAACCAAATCTTTACAACGACCGTCGCAGATAATGCTCTGCAGTTTAGCAATGACAGATCTACTCTATTCGCTGTATTATTTCTTGAAATATCTCGAAATATTTGCAGACGAGCACTTGTGTCCCAAAAAATCAAGGGATAAAATATCCATATTCTCCCCCCTTTGTCTCCTAGCAACCCTCGGGACCTTAGCGGTCATAAGCCGAGATCGCCGTTTGGCGTTGAAAAAGCCCTATTGGTATCGCAGTCACGTGACTAAATCACGTGCATCCACGTTAATATGTGGAATTTGGTTGGCTAGCGCCACTATTGCATTGTTGACACACATACGGTGGAGGTCAGATGTGCCGATTCTCCTTGGACGAATCCTGTCTTTTCTGTTTTGTGTTATTTGTCTCTCTGTGATTATCTTCTCATATCTCGGTGTATTTTGCAAAAGAACTTCTTCTGTAGATGCACTACTCACCCATGCCATATTGAAAAGAGAAAAACGAATGGCTAACACCGTCGCCTTGATTCTTTTGTTATTTTTGAGTACATTTCTACCAGGTATTTTCATTGCACTAGCTCATGTCTTTTCAAAAGATGTGACAACACAGTCTACTATTCCCTTTAAAGGTTTCTTCCTACAACTTAATTCGCTCTTAAATCCTTTGCTTAACTTTTGGCGAAACAAAGAATTGCGCAGGTCACTTAGAAACTTGTTGAAACCTAATCAAGAAGTGCTACCATCATAAAGCAAGTCCATTTCCATGTGACGAAGGTTACGGGCAAGCCTGAACTGGAACACTGGGATTATGGTATCCAGGCTCCCCCAGGATCAATTTTTAGAAGAAAGACGCGAATTTACAAAATCAACTACAGTATAAACTAAGATAGAAGGAAAAAGAAGAAGAAGAAGAAGAAGAAGAAGAAGAAGAAGAAGAAGAAGAAGAAGAAGAAGAAGAACTTAAATTACTCACAAGATTTACGTACAAGAGAGGAGGGTAGGGGAATGAACACATAATTTTCGGAGTTGTTTTTGTACTATATTATGAATTATGTTGGTTCAATGAAATTAAGCTATTATATAAGAACTTTGATATAATAATTTAATATATATGTCCTTTGAAAAGATAGCAATTTCTTTATCTCCCTCACAAACTTAATAGATTCCTCATCCACCACATTACAAATCGAAAAAATGTTGCTGAGACAAAAGTCCAACACAAAATTTAAAGTTTAGACCCGGAAGCACATGGCATAAGGTGATGGATACCAAATCGAACAAAAACTGGCAACAATGGCTGCCAGAAGTTTAGGAGCAACTTCAACTGATCTTCCTTATTTAAGATATAACTTAAAACTGATGCAGTAAGAGCTCCATTTTACGCCGGGATGCCCGACGCAAATATCAGGCAGACATCTCGGTATTACGGACACGGTTTAATATAAATTCAAGCATTAGAGCTGGCGGCTATAAGTTCAAACTTGCCGCTTGACAGGTTTGGCTTGTTAAGGATAAAATATGATTTTAGGAACTTACAGGGTTAAAGTAGTTTAGGTTGTTAACAGCTTGGACTTGGGTTCTGCGCTTTTAGAAACCCTATCAAAGGACCAATCGGCCCAGGTTAGACTTGTAAGGGTAGGGGATCGATCCCAACGATCTCACGGCGTCACCGGAAAATGGGAACCGTGAACAGTCTACTTAGGAATTATCCTTTAATTTTATTAGATTTATCCACTTTAAGGTAAACAATATTGTATAGTTATAATTAATGCTCAGCGATACATCGACTTAATACCTTACTGAGGCTCTGTCCACACTGACGTATTCGAATGTTTTGAAAATGGAGACTTTCCCTCCGTTTTAGCTTTCCGTCCACACGAAAACACCAAAAAGGTTCCTCAGAGTGGAGTTTTATGAAAACGCCGGCTTCTCGTTTACGTTGGTCGACGGACGAAAACGGCCGAGGTTTTCGAAGGCGATGACGTCATATATCTACAGCCAAGCGTATGCCCTGTAATAGATGCTATCGTATTTCGGCCATCGTGTGGACGGGCAAAAACGATTGAAATACGCTAAGTGTGGGCGCTTATTTTAAAATATTCGTATAGGTGTGGATAGGGCCTAAAATATGATAACCACAGATTAAGAAAAAATAGTTGTGACTGAGGAGATATGACTTAGTTAATCAATTATGACTAAATTATGAATAAATTAATTTTAAAGTCCATGCCCTCGTTCGTTGTAATCCTCGTCGTCCTGTTCTGATGAACTTATTTCTTGTTTCTCTTAATCTTGGCCTTCCTGTTGCAACTGACTTGACTGTTTTTCCATTTCCTGTTCGATTACCATCTCGTTCAAATAATCCCAGCATGCTTTGACAACTCCTTGTTTTGTACAGCTCGTAATGCATACTTCGTTGCAGATCGTGCAGCTAACACAGTCATCCCAGTCATCACAAATGCTTTGGCACATTCTATATTGCCCGTCGCAATACTGGATACAATCTAAGGACTGGGCACGAGGTCTTCCCATTACGGAACTTGCGAGTATTATGATGAGAAGTACTGGGAGCGAGACCATCTAAAGTAAAAAAGTGACAGCTTTAACGTTTAGTACGTTGATCTTTTTATTGACTGCGAGCAGTAGATCGAGATCACTTGCGTGAGGGGCGAGCGGCGTTGCTGCGAGGAACGAGAACGAAAAAAAAATTGAGACTGCGAAGGGAGCTTTGGCCTGGTGATTTCCTCTCGCTCTCTGCACCAATCTCTGCTCTTTTTATCATTAATTTGCGTAATTTTACTTACAGAAGTAAGTCTGTCTGAGAGAAACCAGCCATTTTTGATCCAGTAAAATTAAAAAAAGTAAAAGGACAAAAAAGGAAAGAAAAACACCCTTCCCCCTCCACCGCAGAAAATAAAATAAATTAAAAAAATCAAAGTCACAAAATGAGAGGGTTGAACTGAATTATGCTTGTTTTCTCTTTGACAAAATCACCAAGTAAATACTAAGTCTTTTAGAACTCCTATACTATAGTCTGAGAGAAGATGAGACCAGATCGACATAATTTTAAATTTAGCTCAGTTTTGAACTCAAAAATGTGGAGCTCACAATTCATAGTCCCCGCAAAGTCATACTTTAGGGAAGCAAGAATAGACCCTTTCGATTTTTCTGTTGTCGCATCACTTTGAATTGAGAGCAGCGGTTTAGGTTACAGATGACTTGTGCATAGTCTGTTAAGTCTGCTTATTAATTTCTATCCATCCTCTCTCTTGACTATGACCATAATGAATCTACAATTATTATTTTAAAAGCCTGCAAACAGAATTCTAAAAAGTTACAACAAAAAATGCTCTGCTTTTAAAATTCGACTGAATACGATAGAAAAAGTGAGTAGATAGTACGGCTACTTACTGTTCAGATCGCGGAAAACTTAGCTTCTGGTTAAAACAATTCTTAGATTACAAATGAAGAATAGAGCTAGAACTGTGGCCCGTTTTACCAAATTTAAGGTCTTTGAACTTCTTTTTATGCTGTTAAAAACGGAAGAGCCAAACTGTTTTATACAATAGTTTGTTATTTCCTTCGTGGGATGGTCTTGTATGGTCTCTCATTTTACACCTTTGGGTTCCCTTTAATTTTTTCAGCTACATCCTTCAGAAAAAGTGAACACAAAGGGCTTCCCTTTTTTAAAGAGAGATTTAGAATCACGTTTACGGAAACGATCACGATTTGTGCCACACGTGACCAACAAGTTTTCACTTTACTTATCATTCACTGTCATTTAGTTGACACAAAAATATGAAGTTTCCACTGTTTTCCTAATTTCGAGATTTTGTCCACTTGAATCTCGTGTTTGCCGTCTTCCATAAAGGTGATCTTCATCTTTAATTTATAATTTGTGCAAGTTTATAATCAAAGTTAGGAAGCGAAAAGGCTTAATCACAAAAAAGCGGAATTGTTTTTTTAATTGAATATCAAAACAATATCAAAGCCAGTCTGTGGCAAAACGAAATCACCCATGTACGTAAAAAGTGATTTGCCAATAAAGAAACTGTGGTCGAAGTCTCTGGGCAAGTGTAACGCGAAAATTTCATGGTGTAAGCAATTTTTTGAAGAAAATATGGAAACTACCACATCATATTGGTCTCATCTCATATGTTCATATATAGTTCCAAACAAGGAAAAGACTATGTAAGCAAGTATTACGTGAAATAAAAACGAAAAGAAAAGAACGGAAGAAATATGCACAAATCGTAATTATGACAAAATGAAGGGCAGCACATGTCTTTAAACAAGTTTTAAAAACTAATTCCAACCCCTACATTTCAATTCCCTGCAATTCTACGCTTTCTTTTTTTTATTCTCTCCCCTTCCTTCCTTATGCAAACAATCTACAGGATGTTCTTAGACAACAACTTAAATTTCTTTTATTCACATTTGTTTTTTAAGATTTTACAATTGTACAATCTCACACTTATATATCGACAACTGTTTTAACACATCTACGCCTCATCGCACACAACAATACTATCATGCAATAAGTAATAAACATACGAAACCCATCGATTAAACCAAGTTAAAAATGGCGCATTCACGATTTAGAAAGCGGATACGTTACGAAGCCCTATAGGAGCTATGCCACGCTATTTGCTATCTTTTTAAAAAAGCTAGAACCTCTTTCGCATCAAATGTATTCCAAACATAATAGTCCCGTTTTGTTAATTAATACTATATTTAAGCATTGAAACTGTTTCCTGTCGTTTGTTGCAATGGATGACAACGATGGACATGGATTAAAACGTGAAAAAGTTGAACTAACGTTTTCAAGTTGTAAAGCTGTGCCTGCAATACTATGGCTAGTGTTCCCGGATGAAATTTACTTGATCTCTTGTTCACTACTCTACAGGTCACATTTTGTGTATGGGGTATAGGTACGAAGTAATGACTTCAGCACAGAATTGACCCAAAACAGCAACACACTATAGCCTGCGAACGGCAGCTCATCGCCGCTGAGGGACGTTTCGCGAGGAGGAACTCAACTCGCAAAACGTCCCTCAATGGCGATGAGCGAGGAGAAACGTCTGCTGTTCGCAGGCTACAACACTCATGACATAGCTCCTTTAAGATCGAAGGCCTAGGATTTACAAGTAAAATTAGTTCTACTTTCAAAAAATTTAAGATCACTCTGCAAATATATTATTCATTCTAGTTCCAATTGGGTGAAAAGACTTAAAGTAAACATTATTTCCTGTTTTGCCTTTAAAAAAGCCTTCCGACCCCTCGGAACCGTTCTCGGGCCGCTTTCTTAATCTTTTAAGGGGTAAACGTTTCAGGACACTTTATTTCAAACTGTAGTTTCTCAACTTGTGCTATTTCGCTGTGCGCGAGGCAAGAGATCCACCGCGGACTTACGTCTTAAGTTTTCTTTGTTTTGTTATATATTTAGCTTGATTTTATTTAACATTAAGGGAGAATATAGGCAAGGAATGAGCTTTCTACCAGCCCTACATCACTTCTTAGTTTTACAATATTCATAAAAAACAAAGGAAGAACAAGGAAGCAAAAGTGAAGCACTCAGACGAACACCCGCTCAGAAGAGAAACACGACATTTCACTAATGATTGATTAAACACTTAAGGTCAGTATAACTCTAGTAGTCAACCAAGCTCCCACTCTTAGAAGGACTCATTGACCGTGAAAATTCTCTCATGGTAGTGGCAAGCTTCTCGAACTCTTCCCATTTAATGGATTCCAAACTTCTCTGCATTCGAACTTTTGAATCGAGATGCGAGCAGCGGGACTCGGCTTCCTCGAGTCTTAACTTGAGTCGCTCGATTTCCTCGTCCCGCTCGTCAAGCTGCGTGTACAAAATAAAGAAGCATTATGATAAGGCTGGATGTCTCGCTTGTGTTTTCTCTTAGGACCTGTTTACATAAGGGTGGGGGACCCCAGGTAGGTGAGGTAACATGTGGCGGGTTAGCCCACCTAACATGAAAACGTGATCACATTAAAATGAGAGATTGTATGGACAGGCGGTTACCAGTTGTTATGTTCTGTTTGGATTATTTGTTCCCAATTATTTGCGTGAAGATCCTTAGCTTGTTTTATGTGGACTTTCCACTATAAACAAACCTTTAACATTTTAACCTTTTTTAAATGTAGCAGAAAATGTATTTTTCTATACCTTGGCGTTTAAGTTTGCCACTTCGTCAGTAAGGAGGAGCTTGTCTCTTTTCAGTGCGACATTTTCTGAGTTAGTCGAGTCGTGTTGCCCTTCAATCTCGTTCAACTCACTGCGCAGCTGAGTTCGTCTTAAATTGGCTGCAAGCAAAATTTAGTGACATTCATTTAAGAAATAAACTTAAAAACGCAGCTTACTGAGACAATTTTCATCCGCCTCAGCAAGCTATTAGCTATTTGAAGGTGAAATAAATTATAGAATTGTTGACGATGACGATGCAACCTCGTTCCCAGGGTTCTCTCCTACCCGCCTGGGAACGAGGTTGATGACGATGCTGCTGATACCGATGACGGTGTTGTTGATCATGATGTTGATGATGATGATGGTGGTGATACCGATGATGATGGCGATGACGACTATAAAATTAGGATATTCCGCTCCCGATTCTGCCTCCCGGTGTTAACTGTTGGGGAAAAAGTATCCTGCCTTTCCCTCTCATACGTTCCACCCCGTCGAATTTCAAAATATCCTGATCAGATTAAGGCAATTCACAACGCATTTCAGGGCCGCTTCAAATCACGACGTCTTCATAAGCCACCAATTCCCGTAGGGCTGCCTTTTTTCTTCGTTAGAGTGTCATTGTCCTGGCAAGTAACACTCTTAGGCAGTCGTTTACTTACGGAGAAGAAGACTATACTTTGCCCTTTTTCGTGCTTGGCTTAAAAACTCCTGTTATGCAGGCTGGAGGTAACATAAACATTTTTTCAACACAAGGACATTTAACACCGCAGTTAGGTGTTAAATGCTTAATCTCTCTTCCGCAATTCAAATGTATGAATTTCCTATTATTTCCTCTCACAGAATAATTTTAGATTAGGCTTAAACCTTACCTTCCAAGGACGCTTGTTCCTCTCTTGACAACTGAAACAATAAATAAGATATCAGGTGTTTGTCATTTATGAGTTTTAGTGTGGACTACAGCCCCTGGTGTTCAAACGTTGCACAGCGCTATCCATGAGATAAATCACTATTCTGACTATCCAGCGGATTTAAGTATTTGGGAAATACGTTGCGTTGTCCAGTGGATAGCGTTACGCATCTTTTGAACAACGATTAAGCATGAGAACGGATTTTCCAACAAAGTTCGCACGCTTTAGATTTAACACTGGTTACGCCAATCATATCCCTAAAGTCTTTCTAGTGAGGTCCTTTACCCAGTAACGACTTACAGTTCTTAAAAACAGCGGTGCCGCGAACTTTCGAGGAAGTCACTAACAATAAACAAAAGATGATAGTGCATTTACATGGCTTACACATCCTCTAGCTGCTGGAAACACTTCGCAAAAAAGTATTCGCCATGCTCAATCTTGTAGTTGTGTATTCAACCAACTGACCACTGCCAAAGATTTTATGCACCAATGCCGTTATTTCTCATTTTTGTTAAGATTACTGTAAAGTACCCTGAGTCAGATATGACCGCGGTTCGTGTTCTCCGCCGGGAACTGGAACTAATCGCATTTGTCAGGACGCATCCTAATCTGGTGTTCCTATGGCACAAAGGCTATCACCGGCGACTGCCGATTAGCCACACCTATTAATTTTATCAGGGGCACCTCGGCCGGGAAACTGGACTCCTTTCAACTCGATTTCGTCCCCGTGAGTGACGGACGCGGACCCGTAATAAATGATTACCTCTAGTATATAGTAGAGGCTCACACAAGGGAAACAAATAATATTTGCATGTGAAATACGATGTTGAAAGAAACTCTTAAGAGTCAATATTAAAAGCAAATGTAATCCTTTTCTGTCAGAGAAAGTGCACGAAGCAATTGCGAAGTTGGTTACGGTTGAGACTTGTGAGGCAAGCGCGTAGTTCAAGGTAGCGCTGATGAATGCGTGAAACGAGGGCGCAAGGCTAAGAGGAAAAAAAGATGAAGAAGGAACAAAACAACATATTGTAGGAAAAAAGGAAGAAAAAGAGGAAAATGGTGAGAATTGAAAAGCGAGTGTTTTAATACCTTCTGCAGGGTTTCCTTAAGATTATGTTGTTCAAGTCTTAATAGTTCTTTCGTCCGTTCTAGCTCCTGCTGTAAATGTTTCTCACTCTCTTTTAGCGTTACAAGTTCCTGGATGTTGGCCTGTCGACGGTAATCTTTTTCGTCCTTGTGGGCACGATCCTGTCAAATTAAAAACGAAACGAGGATGAAACAGGTAAACTATACACATTTTCAGATTCAATTAATCCAGACCGTTCTTCTTGACGACTGGAAGAAAAATTCGATCCCGGCGGGGGATGGGGGGTGCGGGTGGTGGTTGTCCTCTCTATAGTAACCTATACGGGGAGGCTCCACCCGAAAGGGGTACCTTTTTCAGGCATCAGGCATATGAAAGGGCAGGGATTTTACTCATTGAAGTATAAGCGGATTCATCGTGACGTCATTGTTTACATTCTTGCTCATTTGCATACGAGTTAACCCATAGAAGATGTAGCCGTATAGGTGAATCTCTGTTTACACTTTTGCCTCATTAACATAATTATGCTTATTATATAAACACCAATGAAATACCGGGTGAGCTTTCGCGCGAAAACTTGATATCTTCACATGTGAAAATAACATGTTATCTTCACACGTGAAAATATCACCGTTGCTATGGCTACATGATAAATCGCGCCTTTCACACCAAAAAACTATTAAAGTGAAATGGTTTGATATTTCATTGGTGTTTATATAATAAATAGAACATTACATGGCCGCTTGGAGATACGCAATTTCTTTTCTCGTGTTGGAAAAATATCTCACTCGTTCGCTGCGCTCACTCGTATATTCCAACACTCGAAGAGAAATTTCGTATCTCCGCGCGGCCATGTAATATCCTCTATTTATCACTATCTGATGACGCTAATAAAATAAAAACTCTGAATATTGAAAGGCCATAATAGTTTCAGTTATCTCTGAAAATTTGAGCCCAATACACCGAATTCTATTGCTTGCAAAGAGCTGAAAATTGCACAAATTGTTCAACTTAATCAGTTCCTTCAACTTTTGCATTTCGTTTATGTATACGGCCACGGCTTCTATGGGTTAAGTCGTATGATAATGAGGAAAAATGTAAACAATAACGTCAGCAAAGATTCGCCTATACACCAATAGTCCATTTTACAGTTGCAGGTGAAAACGAGGCTGGAGTTGACCTTGGTTTGATACAGCCCTTCCTGCTTTATTATGTAAATCATGTCTTTCTTATGCTGACTAGTATTTTTCAAGCAAACTTTACATTATAAAAGGAATGAGGTTTGTATCAAAATAAGGTCAACCTCAGATGGCCTATTAGGTTCAAAAATTGAAAGAGCTAGTTATTTTATGCAGTTTGTGTAAGTTTCAGCTCTTTGCAAACAGCAACAAAGAAAATAGTAGCAATTAAAAACTGCAAAATTCTTGGGTGGCAAACGTTTATAATGAGCTCATACGTTCTATGTAAATTTTTGGGTTGTTCAAAGAGAATTTCGCCGAAACTGTTTAGTATATAGGGCTCAAAATTTCAGAGATCACTGAAATTGTTATGTTCTTTCAATATTCAGAAATTTCATTTCATTAGCTTCAATTCATCAGATAATGATAAGCCTATGCTAACGAGGCAAAAAATGTAAACGAGGATTCGCCTATATGACGGGGAATGACAGGGTAAGGAAATCTGTACAAAAAAGCATGATGCACGTGCAAAGTTGTTGTTTTGCTTATTAAACCTGAAGGAGACTTTAACATTCAACGACACGACGACAACGAGAACGTCTAAAAAACAATAGGTTTAATAAGCAAAACAACAACTTTGCACGTGCACCACACGCTTTTTTGTACATTTCTTTGCCGTTTTTGCACGACTATGACGTGAAATTCCCAATTTCGTGTTTTATGGAGAACTAAACAAGCAACGACGAAATTTTTCCGCTCTCTGAACTTGAATATGGTCCCTTGGAATTCAAATTTAGGAGGGTTCGCGTATATTTGACATAGTAAGTAAGTAGGAATAATCGCGATAAAGACTGAAAGAACGCAAATTCACTTTTTAAGCGACGTTCTCGTTGCTGTCGCGTCGTTGGATCTTTATAGCCCTAATGTCGAGGGGAGTTGGCTGTTAGAGACTTGTGAAGGTATGTATGTTGTGGAGATGTTGCTGCTGTAGCAGTGAGTAGAGGATGGACTTAAGCTGACACAGGAGACTGCCTAGGCACCTTGCTACATAGCAATATTCTTAGGGAAATATCTTAGAAGACAGAAGAATCATTTTTTTAAGCAATGCACTACGCCATCTGCGGACACATCAGGACAACTCACCATATCTATTTGTTTTCTGAGTTCGATGACTTGAGCCGATATAGCAGCATTCTCTTTAATTAAAGCCGTACAGTCATCTTGGATCTGAAATCATAACAGGTTTTATTAGTTTTAAATTTATCGTTTATTGATTGATTGACTAATCTTTATACAAAGACTTTCAAACCCCTCGCAGTCATTCTCATCCAAGGCTCGGTTCCTCAAAAGATGGTTAAGTTTAATCCAGGATTAAGCCAAATTTTAAGCAAGGTTTTCTTGTCTAAGAACATGTTACTCGAGCTTACAAAATTACTTTTGTGTCTTTACTCCGAGATTCAGTGATGATAACATAGAATTTTACCCTAGATAATGCATAGGAAGGTAAATACAAAAATAGAACAAAATTTTTATTCCTGGATTAGTGCTAATCGGCCTTTCAGGTACCGGGCCCAGATTCCCATTTCCTACTATGCGCGATTCGGTATTAGGAGAGGCGACCAGGTAAGATTAAACTGTTTCTCTTTGCTTCTCAGTGGACAAGCTCAAGCCGTAATGATCTTCCTTATGTTGCCGGTGGTCTAATGTAGCTCTAATGTGGTTTTAGGTCACGTAAAATGGGTGTAATATGTACAGGCTGTATCTCTAACATGAAGGGTTCCGTGCGCAACATAGAGTGCAAGACATCCTTATCTCTGCGTTGGTAAACTGGCCCAAGAAAAGTTTTGGTGGCGCGAAGGAGTAAACAGGGAATGATGTCAAAGGCACGTAAGGGTCACATGCTTCCCACGTGAGAATCCTTATTTTTGGGGATTACCGTCTTACGAGCAAAGGTTAAGTATTACTAGAAAGAAACAAGCTGTTTTGAGGACCACTTGCAACAGTACAAACCGTAAAATTCCGAAAATAATCCCCGGGGCTTATATTTTTCAAAGGCCCTTTTTGAGGGGCTTATTTTTGGAGGGGGTTATATTCGGAGGGGCTTATCTACGGAGGGAAATTTGCGTTTCAAAATCGATTGGGCTAGCCTTATAGTTGGAAGTAAACTTACCGTTTTTGCTTTGTTTTACTTTGTATTTGAGGTCAATTTTCCAAGTACAAGCCCCCGGGGGGCTTATATTTGGAGAGGCGATTTAATGGAGGGGTTTTTGCGTTACCGGATTGGGGGGCCTATATTTGGAGGGGCTTACACATGGAGGGGCTTATTTTCGGAATTTTACGGTATCTTTTCTCTTTGACGTCACAAATTTGCATGGTTCCCTGCTCAGAGACTACTGGCGGGAAACAATTTTATTCTTTGATGTCACCTGACCTTGAAATAGTTAGTGTTAGCAAACCCAGTTTTCTCATGCTCATTGTTCTTGAGGAGAAAATCATAGTTACATGTAAGTGAAAATGTACCTTGTTTCTAAGACTTCTGTCCTGTTCAGCGTTAATTTCTTTTTCTTTCAGCTGTAGTCGTAGCTGTCGTATTTCTTCCTACATTAAATAGGAAAGTTTTCAAACAAAAATATCGTCAATGATGTAGCAAATGGGTGCAATTTGCTTGCTATTTGTGCAAACTCCATGTAAGCCACACAGTGTGTGATGCCTTACCCTGAGTGCCCGGCCAATTTCTTCTTTTGTTTTCGCTTGAGAGTCAAAGAACTTTTCGTCCATTTCTTGAAGCTGGGTCTTGAGCTTTAAACACTCCGCTCTCTTCTCTTCCAACTCTATTCTGAGACTGTTTAAATCCCCAGTCTTGCGGTCCAGCTGAATATAAAAAGGAAAATGGTATCCTTTACCAACAGAAGTAGTTTGTAAGCCATAAAATTCCTATCTGAAGTCTGATAACATTCTCGGCTTTAATACCATTCTTAGACTTAAAAAAATCCAGCGAATCAACTCATCGCAGAAGTGAAACTCTCTAAATATAAATAGCCCATTTTACAGTTACAGTTGCTAACGAGGCTGGAGTTGACCTTGTTTTGATACAACCCTTCTTGCTTTATTATGCAAAACTTGTTCTTGTTATGCTGACTGGTATTTTTTAAGCAAAATTTTCATTAGAAAAGGAAGGAGGTTTATAACAAAACAAGGTCAACCTCAGCCTCACGTTCACTCAAAGGCTAGGACACCACGCCCACAACTGTAAAATGGCCTAATTATTTCAGTCTATTTGAAAGTGAGGTACCTCTTGAGTCAAATTTGGCGCCCTGTGTTATCCCGTTTTGTTTTGCTTTGTTTGTCACTTTGTTCTTTAAGTTCTTTTTTTCACAAACTGAACAAACTGAGCTAGACAATTATTTTCGCCTGTATCAAGAGCACCATTTTTAACCTGGCAAATTCATATAAATCAGTTACAGTTCCGTGATTTTCACATAATATGCACCATAGCTCCTTTTAGCGTTTCGTTGTGCCATAGGTAAAGTTAACTTAAAAGCTTTTCTTTTTAAAAAATAATTTTCAGCTTTTGTGTCTTTTTCTCGCGGGACAGGATTCTCGTCTCGAGAGGCGTTATTCCAATTTCGCGTGAATTTCAAAAACAGTTAAAGCCACAACGTACCTCCACTCTGTAATTCTGTACTTTTCTCTCGGCGTCCTGTAATGCTGTTAGTCCTTTGTCAGCCTCACTCTTGTACTGATGCACTTGTAGATCTCGGCGAGCACTATCACGATCGTGAAGGTCTGCCATTTTTTTCAGTGACACTATTTCATTCACTAGCTGGCGTTTCTCTGCCGCATGGGACTCTGCAGAAACATTTTTTTTCTGTTTTAGATACAATGGCCGTTTTGCTAGAGAACAGCTTAGGCGATTCACTACATTTCAAAGATTGGTGATGAGCGGTCTACTTTGTGCTTTGTGGTATCAACAACAAAGAATCTAATTCCATAATGTTAGTTTGAAAATAGCCCGAGAAAACAGCCCACTGGTTTCTCCGCGAAATGACATATGAGAAACAAAGGCAAAAATTCCATACTGATGACACATCACTACCCAGATCTGAATAGTGCTTCTGATTGGCTGAAGCAAATTTCCCACGTGGCACGACCAATCAAAAGCACTATCCAGATCTGGGTAGTGACGCATCATCAGTATGGAATTTCTGCGCTCGTTTCTCAGACGTCATTTGGCGGGAAAACCAGTGGTAACGTCGTAAAATGTCGGCTGTTTTCTCATGCTGGTTTGAAATTGCTTAATTCTGTATGCGAATCAAATGAAATGAATCAGGATCATCAAAAATGGTCTCTTGTCTGAAACAGCGAAGCAAAATAAACGAGTTTTGTTTTAAACAGGCTCAGGGTTTGAAGTCCTCGTCAGCACAACTCTACCCAAACGTCCCTTAAATGTCCCCCCCCCCCCACCCCCAGGATTGCTCAATAATGATTATCTCATGCACACTTTTTTAAATGCCTGCATAACAGCCCAAATTTTTAATTTAGCCAACCAAGAAGCAAGAAAATGTCAAGCGGGAGATGAGAGGAAAAGAAAAAATGATATATTTATTTTTCTTCCCTTTCCTCATCTCGCATGTCGCCCTTCGCCTCTCATGTTCTTCTCACAGTCTAGAACAAAAACACACCTGACATTTGTAGCCACAGGAGGAGTTTTGACAATAAATGCTAAATACTTCACCTTCAGCATCCCTGAGTCGTTTTATTGCTGAGTCTTTCTCTGCCTCCAACATGTGCATCTGTGATTCCTTTCGCGCAACTTCTGATGCTCTCTCATCCACCTTCCCCTGCAGATCACGCAGCTTCCGCATCATGCGATCTGCTTCCTCTGTGACTCGAGGAGGAATGGCTACGGAACAAAACAACGAACTTGTGATCAGTTTTTATGGAGAATTACCAAATGATGACTGTTTTGAGCTACCAATGTAAAATAACCTTCCTTTACCTTCTATCTTTATTTGTCAGGGAAGGAATAAAACTCAGACCAGAGCAATTCATTTACACATAGGGAAAACAATGGGTGTGATTGTCAGGTAAGTCTGTAAATAAGGTTATCCACTTCGAGTTTTGTACACCCTAAACTGTCAGGCAAGGTGACCTTGCAGACTAAATTGAGAGCTTAAGCAAAATTTAAGACTTTTTTCAGCGACGCATGTCAAGAGGAAGTGATGTGTGTATTCTTGGGCCATGGTTTGGCCAAATTATTGGGCAAATTGTCTATAAGAGTGAAGACACTCGGCAATACAAATTTGGTAGCATGGCAAGGCATATAGAAGAGAAGTGGCCTCACTTCCAGCTGACGTGCGTCGCTCAAAAACACCTTTGCTTAAGCTCCCTACAAATGCCTTTCTAAGCTCCCTAATATTATGGTATCTGTTTGGAAGTAGAAAATTACACATCATGTTCACGAATTTGTTGCCATGTGAAGAGCACCTGTCAAGAGCAAAGTGGATTGTCTGTCTCAGTATTGTAACAATGCTGGTATATAAGTTGCCTACAGTTGAATTAATTAAACTGTCTTTAAAAACCTCTTTAATTTTATGTTTTAAATTAGGCTCACCTGAAGCTTTCCGAGCTTGCTCTCGTCTGGTGATAAAAGGGTCAATCAAGGAAAAATCATGAACACACTCGATATCGTCATCACATTTCTTAAAAGTTCCTCAACAATTATTCACCTCTAACCTACACTGTACTGCTAACTCTTGAGTCGATTTGTGGACAAAATTCTATGGTGTGACCATGCATTTAAATGAAATCTCTTCAGACGTACTTTCACATGGTACTATTTATTTAAGATCTTGTTCTAACTTTTAAGGTTGTGGATAAAATCCCATGGTGTGACCTTTCAAATGAATTATCTTCGAGCAATACTCTCACATGGTAAAAAGTCCATGGAAAAAATCTTATGGTGTGACCATTCAAATGAAATCTCTTCAGCAGCACATTTCGCATAGTACTTTTTGTTTTTCAACATTTATATTGAACTTCTGGGAGTGAAAGGGTTAAATTTTATGTTGATCATACTAGTCAGCTCTTGTTATTGTGGACACCCTGAGAAGGACCGAGATCTAGTGTCCTAAACAACAGGAAACCGTGGTGATAGGTACACCGTATAGCGAACTTTCAATCTGCCTTCACTTACGAGAACTCATTCTCGTAAATGACTAGCTCTAGTTGCGACCATTTTATAAGGTTCCCAAGGTGCACGGTTGCTTAAGAGAGCCTCAACTGTTTATACAAATGTGAACACTCAAGCACCTGAGTGCCTGAGAAGGGGGAGCATTGATTTGAAGAGGGAGCACAATAGTGTTAAGTTGAGGAGACACAGAGGGAATCCTTTTGATCTATCCCCATTGATCCATTAAATACCGTATCTCCTTGAATAATAGCCGTGGATGATTATTAATTTTTTTCGCAGAAAAAGGGGGCAATTATTCGAGGGAGGCGATTATTTCAAATATTGCTGACTGGAAGTCATGCCCTAAATATTATATTTTCAGTTTCCCATTAAATAAAAAAATAATCACATCAAATAAACTGAACATGGGCTTTTTAATTAAGTGTTCCAAATTTAGTTCCTTGTCTGACAAATTTTTGGAGCTTGAATCGCCACTGATCAGTTTTTCTGGATCACATTGCAGTTAAACTTGACAGGGAGGGGATAAAGGGAAGAGAAGATGGCGAGAGGGGCGGGCGAATCATTATCTTAAGGGAGACGATTATTTTTGAAATATTTCCGTCAAAGGAGGGCAGTTATTCAGGGGAGGCAATTAATCAAGGGACGGCTATTCTTCCAGGAAATATGGTAGCTTTACCGCAGGATTTTTCTTGCAGTGGATATTTCAAGTGCAATCTTTGGTTAAAATAGATAAACTAACTGGGCTAAGTTTGATAAGTTCAAACCGTTACAGAAAAATATGCAGGTTTTAAATCATGGCTGGCAAAGGATACAGATAGTTGGCTTCCAACTCAAGGAAATAAATCTGTTGTTGAAGATTCCTGATGTACTCATTTTCAATATCTCCAATTGCAGCATTAGATGTGGAAGATCTGGTATGTTTTCTGAATAAGAAGAGAAAACAATATCTAAACATTAATGAAATCCTGTATTCCTCTCACTCGGATAATTAATTGAATCAATGAAAAATAATTTTGCAAGCTTGCGTTAATTTTCCCTAATAAACTCGAAATCGTCAGGTGCAGTGAGGGTTGTGTTCCCTGTAATTTTTAAGCTCAATTTGGGATTTAAAATTGTTGTTTACTTTCGCAAACCTGACAAGGATTAAAAGCGATTTTTTCGGAAAACAAACACACAGTTTGCAGTTAAAATCAGCCTTGCAATTTTACATACAAATTCTTCAGCGTTTTGTGGTATGTTTATACGATTACAGTTATGCACAGTGTAATTTCTTCGAGTTTTGCACGCACGGGCATTTTGAAAGGATCGTTCTCCTGGGATAAACAGCTATACCAAACCAGCACTATCGTTTCTTAAACTTTCTATTACTTCATTTAATGAAGGCATACAAAGAAATCCGTTTGTGTGAAATTGTGAACGATACCAAAGATCGGCGAAGACAGTTGTAGCAACTGGGGAATGCCTGATATCAGCGTGCCAAACTGCCGCGTGCATAAACAATAGTGTCCCCAACTTTTTTATTGTACCTCGATAGAAATTAAGTGAAAATCACTTTAGCCACAGTAGCACCTGGGAACAACTGAAGGGTATGTACTTAAAGAACTTACCCAGTTTTTGAGTCAAACGATGCCGCTAAGTGCAAACTTCTACTACCCGATTTTCCAAAACTGCCAGAACGCCGGAGATTATCCGGTGCACTGCTCCGAAGTGGAGAGGCTACGACAGATCAAAAGTAAACATAATTAAACTAGGAAAACACTGGACTTGCTTTAACAAAATATATTCAGCACAGCTTACCAGATCTGGTACCTTTCGTCCTTGAAAACGATGCCATTTTCTCTTAACTTCAGATTGACAACATGAAAATGGCGTCGCGTAACCAAAGAAATTTTTGCCGCTGAAATCGTTCGCGGGCTCAGTGTTGCCCCATGATCGGCTACTTGCACTGTCAGGGGGGAGGCTAGAGTCAGTTGTGACGGTCACTTTTCGTTAGGAAAAATCTCGCCGGAAAAAGGCCTCAACCCAAGGAAATCAACCATTAAATTCTTTCTCTGAGCAGCCTTCATGACACTTTCTCACGGCCATAGTAGCGTGGAAGCTGTTGGGCCGAAACGGCCTACCACTTGAATAAATAGCTCGGGCGTTGGGCAAACAATATAAAATTATCTAACAGAAATGATGACTGTGGAAAATATTGAGCTAAACCCCTCAATTGTGGACAAATTTTATCTTCAGGATATTAGGGTAGGTTACTGAATTTGGAAAAGCCCCAATTACACCTCGTCTGAGAAAACTCGCCTGAGAAGTTCAAACAACTTCCAGTTTGATATATCATCAAAGTCGAACGGTCTTGGTTTACATCCATTATTCATTACTTTCATGCCACGTTTTTAAAGCAAAAATATTTCCCAGCTGGACTAGGATTTTTACAAGGCTCTGCCCTGTATCTTAGACCAGAGAAAAGCAAGTCTCGTCTCGGATGAACAAGTAAGGGTCTCGCAGCTGTCTCGTCAAGTCTCGCCATATCAGTCATATCAGCAGTTATAATAGCCCGATCGCGACAAAACCGTGAAAAAGCCTCATGTCCGGTTTTATCTATATTAGCTGTTTCACCCCATTGTAGTAATACCTTTCATATCGTGCATGCCAACAATGCTTTGTCACATTAAGGATTCAACATCGCAAAAAGTGGGCCTTATATGAAAAATCAGAGAAGTTTTCGAAAACAAAAGGAAAAGAATTACTCGGCTCCACTGTTATTTTGTTTTTATCATATCTGTAGCAAATATTATCCCCAAGATCCATCCAGTGACTCGCACGCGACAATCAGAGAGCAATTTAACTGGGGACAGACAATTCAATCACGCGAATAGCCTAGGGAAGACTAAAGTCGCGCGTTTTGCTTTCATAATTTACCAACGCAATATATTTAGCAGCTTTTATCTCCTTAGACGGGTAATTGATCACAAATTGCATGTAATTAACTAAAGTTTAAAAATAGCCATTCAGTAAGGCATTTTCGTTAGCGAAATTATGGCTTACAAATAAATTGCGTATTAGGTGCCATTCAAAGATACTTGCACCTGGCATGAGCCGAGCTAGGTCAGGCTGGCCGTGCATGCATGGAAAGCGGATGTTTCAGAATGATTTTGGCCAAAGTAAACGCATGTCGTGCCAAGTAATCGCGTCGTTTTTCTACAAGATCAGCAGAGCACGTTTCTCGTTTCGGTTTGCAAACAGAAAAAAAAAGATAAGATGTTGTAATGGAGAAGATCTGAGAAATGCGTGCAGACGCCGATTTAAATTCGATCCTTAAAGCGCCTAAAAGAAACAACTAAATTAAAGTATACAAACCGAGTGGAAAGAAAACTTTACGCTTAATAAATGTATATACAAAAAGCAAATAGCCAGGCACAATATTTAACCGTTCAGTATTGTTTACACGGATTTTATCAACAAACCATACAGACTCAAATGGAAGTAAAACGAAGAGACAATTAAAGAATATTACAGTCTTTTATTTGTGTATAGAAGAAACCTCGTCGACGGAAACCTTAATCCAATGGCAGACTGAAAACAAGACTTTTAAATGCCTAAGACTATAAGATGCCTGAGTTGAATCTATAAAATCGCAGATGGTTGAATACTTTTTTAATTTTTCATAACTTTCTTGTCTTGTCTTTTCCCTTCGTATTCATTTGACAACCGATGCAATACCACGCATGCGTGTGTCACACGCTTCCGTTGAAACCTTTGAAAACGCTGAAAGCGGTAACTACCACCAATCTGTTGGAAAAAAATTATCCGGAGCGATGAATAACAATTTTAACTCGCCGGTCAAGCATGAAATTGCTCTTATTAACGGAGTTGCGACAAGAATCGCGAGTGCGAGATCTACCGAGGAAAACCTTTGCATTGTGGTTATACCCGGCAATCCTGGTGGAATCGGATTTTATGACATCTTTATTTCGACGATTTTTCAGGCTGGAAAAGGAAAATATTCTGTTTACGGAGTCTCCCATGCAGGTATGGCTTTTGATACCATTTAAACGTAACAAGCATGAAAATAGACGAGATTTGACTTAGAATTGATAGAAAATATTTCTCAATCAGCAAGTTCAAAGAAAACAAAGCCTAAAATTTCTTGATCTCCAGTGGTGTTCCCGCGTTATATGTTTCTCTTTTCTCAAGCTTTTATTTTATTTTTTTCAGTTTAAAGATCATGACTTAAAATGGTTTAAATATACTACTTTCGTAAAATACCAAGAGGAGATTTTGCGAGGGCCAAGCCATTTTTAAAACCATCGATAAACTCATTGTTGTGTTTATAAATGACTGCATGAAAAAGAAAATTTATATGTGACCATCTGCTCACAGAGACAGAAAGCTCGCACAGGCCGATTGCGAAACAAAAACCCACAATTACTATAAACGTTACGCTATTCGCCGAGTTTGCGCCACAGAAAAATTAAAATCGGATAGATTTTAATTAACAGAAGTGTCACCATACTTTCAATGGAGCGATTTTCCTTTTTGGCTGCAACAATTCATTTTCTCATCATTTATTTATTACTAAACCTGTAAAGAACTGTATATATAAAAAACTAAAATAGCTATTACATTCAACACAATCTGGTTTTGAAATTCAGACTGTTATTTTAAAGTCGACCCCTATGCTGGGGAAAATTCTAATTTGATTAATTTGAAAAAAAAAAAAAAAACAGTTTTCTGTGTTTCCTGATGTCTTGCAGTTTCTATCTTATTGAGAAGACTCCCGCAGAATTTATGATAGTTTATCCGCAGCGGTAAACGTGCAGAAAGGGGTCTTTAACCTGTAAACAGCCGTAAGAACGGCAAGCACTCTTCAGTTCAAACGATTTGATTTGGCGCTTCTAGCCCTACGAGCAGGAGTTACCAAAACAGAGCAAAACACAACTCTAGTTTTGCCTTGTAGCAATCGTAGTTGGATGCACGCCAGTGACAAAATGTAAAAAAGGGTGTTAAATAGGGCGATTTGTTAGAGCACTATACCCTATCTTAAAACTGACATTAAAGTGATGCAAGGCTTTGATTGGTCAGAAATGGCAAGAACTCAACAAGATTATTTAAAGCATCTTGTTATATTCTTGCTATATGACATTACAAGAATTACGAGTGCTCTATCGCGCCCGTTCAGGTCATTTTAAAAATGTACACAAGCTACGTCACAATGCACGACATTTTTGGTCGCGTTAGTCTAGCAGACACTGGCAAACCGGAAATCCAGATTGTCTAGGATCAGCTCCAAAATAAGAAAAAATGTCCCCTGAATTTTTGGTGCAGAACCATTTTTGAGATATTTTGAACAGTTTTCAGAGGTGTTTCTTATTGTTGTTGTTTTTTAACATTGAAAGCCTTTTAAAAACAGGTCCCCTGGTCTGTCTCCTGGTCACTCAAATCGAATAGCGGAATGGCTCTTTAACTGAAACCTGCGTTCACGCGGGATCACGGTTGTTGAGCCATTATTCTTCGCATTACAACACAATTTTAAAACTTCTTTTGATCTTTAATTGATCTCGTATCCAGGACATGCTCAAGTTGACGACCCCAGTGGTCCATGCAAATGCAAAAGCGAGAAACAGTGGGATCAAGAACAGCCATCGTCTTTCACTCTCAGCGATCAAATAGAACACAAACTCGCCTTTCTTGCTTACTATATCCCTACGCATTGTAGGGTGATCCTTGTGGGACACTCCATTGGTGCGTATATAGCCTTAGAAATGCTGAAACGCTACCACGACAAAGAGAAAGTCCTCAAGTGCGTTTTGCTTTTTCCAACGATCGAGCGAGTTGATTCCGCTCCGAGCGGCAAATTCTGGAAGTTTATCTGCCATTATTTACATTGGCCTTTCCTTATGGGAACAGCGGTGGCCTCGTTTTTGCCTTCGCTTCTTCAACGCTGGGCCGTAGGCTGGTGGATGTATCTGAACGAAGTCGAAAACGAAGAATGCATCAAAAACGCCGCGCAGGCTATGTTAAATTACCACACGGTTAACAACGTCCTGGAGATTGGCCGCCAGCTTACCACGATAAAAGAACTGGACTACGAGTGCGTCCGGTTAAACCTGGACAAACTGGTTTTCTTCTACGGGCTAGGTGACCCGTGGGTGCCACAGGTTTACTACGAGGACATGAAGGAGAGGTTCCCGGATGGAGACATCAAACTGTCACGTGATAAGGACATTAAGCATGCGTTTGTGCTGGATACCTCTGAAAAAGTGGCAAAGATGGTGTGGGAATGGATCGAAAACCATGTGAACGAATATGAGCTTGAAGACACAGTTACCATTGTCGAACCTTGTTAGTGACTAGGCTATTGTATGTACTTGACATGACTTGGGCCACAGTGAGAAATTTAAATAACAAATTGAAGAAGTTACTTTATTTAAAAGTAAAAAATGACACAATATATATTGTAAAATACCTATACAGTTATATTCGGCATCGAAGTGTTCACCGACGGAATAGCCCTCTTTAGCTTGTATGTTTCCCAATGTTGGTCTCGAGAGAATTTGCCCCTTTGTCTTTTCATAAATTATGCGTACATGTCCAGGTGAATAAGACAAAATTTGTAAGAAACAGTTCTTTAGAGTATCATCATATGACCTACATAGGGAAAACAAAACATAGAAGCTAAAGAGAGCTATTAACGAAGTCTGCGTGGTAGAAATTTTTTAGTGTGAGACTATACGTAACATTGGAATACTCGGATACCCAATGAAAAAATTCTGGCCAAGGGCATCGTGGAAACGCATCGGTAAGTAAGTTGTTGTCGAAAGTAGCCTATTACTAAAATAATACGAAATATATATCTATCTTTTGATGACTGGTAGTAGTTACGACAAGACGTTGCCCGCCACCATTTTAAAAATAGCCTTCCTAGTTACATGATACTTCACAACTATACATGTGTGACTCCCTTAGAAATGGTCTCCTCAGCGCTCAAATTGAAATAAAAATTCGTAAGTTTACAAAGCCTTTCACCGTTGTTTTTGTTTTATTTTTGATAACGCAAATTCGAATAAATGCTATTAAACTAAGGGTCTAGCAAGACAATAAATATTACTGACTCTTTTATTTATATTCCTTGCTTATGGAAGTGAATATTGAATGCTATAAACGGCTTAGTTAGAACTTAATGGATTCCTTCCATCAAATTTAGAAACTTGCGAAGTTTCGGTCCCGTAAACACAGTGTCCCTTTGCATTCGAACGCATCAATTACAAATGTGAATCAATTTATACTTGCTATGTTGAGTCAGAGTCTTCTCCGCTGTTAAACCGAGCAAATCCTCGGCCAGCAGGCGCTCTTCTTCCTAAAAAAAGTTAGACAATCAGATGTTAGGAAGATATTTTTCTTGGACCGCTCATTCGGAAATAGAATGCGGCGTCTACCCTCTCTCGTCAAATTCTTACAGGAATTCGTTTCCTTGAAAGGGCATTTCGCCCTTTATCATTTATGCCCTGAGCTTTGTGTCAAACCGATGTCTCCCAAGTATTATACCAAACGTTAAACAAAAAAACAAAAAATGCTAGAAAACTGTTAGGTTAACAAGTTTTCAAAAATCACAACTGCAATTTCTTTCAATCTTCTCCAAGCTTGCCCATCCGCGCCTCCTTTGCATTTGCTGTGCTATTTATACATTCTTTTCATGTTTTTTATGAGTTATTTTCTTTTTTCACTTAGTTTGGTGGCGGTTGCCACTGTTTGAATTTTGCTAAATACTTTCGTGACACAGCTCTTTAACTTTCAAAATGCTACCACCAACGCTGAAAACAACGCGAACAGTGTGGTGGCTTCTCTATTTTGATTGGCTGATTACATCGTCTGATTGTTTGATTCTCGCTTTTCATTGGTTTATTTCATTAAAGCCCGCCAAATTGTCCATTTTAAAATGCTACCAAGAAATTTCGCCTTACCCAGCCTTGGTTCCCAGTCCGTCTCGCTGCCGCTCTCCAGTGGTGTCCGGGACCACGGCCGACGTTCTCCTAACTTAGGGGTCTCCTCTCGGTCAAAATTGACTTCCGTCTAGTTTAACAACAATAACAATCAAATTAAAGCAATCATTAGTATTTAGCACATGCGAGACAGCCTTACCAAGTGAAACGCAACAGCATGCAGAATTAGAGCCTGTTTACATGGAGGTGAGGGACCCCAGGTAGGTGAGGTAACCCATTTAGGTGGGGCAACTCGCCTGTCCCTATAAATTATAATCTCTCATTTTAATTTGATCACGTTTACGTCAGTGATAGGTGGGGTGACCTTATGAGAGATTATATGGACAGGCGGGTTACCCCACCTAAGGGGGTTACCTCACCTACCAGGGGTCCTCCATCTCCGTGTAAACAGGCCCATAGCTGCCCATTACATGTTTATTTCAAGTTTCATTTCCAGTGGGCGGGCTTAGGTCTCGGCGGCACTTTGAGAATACGATCATATAAATGAACGCCATCACTGGCCGATGTTAAAGCCTTAAGTCACAATTGTAAAACTTTATCAATGACGCTAGCCCTGCGGAAATTTGTGTCCAAGGGCCCAGAATTGAAATTTCAAATGACGATTGTGTTCACGTTCTCGGACTGTTTTAGACTACTATTTCACTAAATAATTATCGATACCTGTTATAAATTAAACATGGAGGAATATTTTAAGGCTATGTTCACACTGTACCGGATAGCCGTTGCGCCGGCACGAAAACGATACCGAGAATGGCTTCTGTTCACACATGAGAACGGTGATTCCGGTGCGATTTCTCTGACGGAGCGAATCTGCTCCGCGCCGATCTCGATAGTGGAGCGTCACATATCGGAAAGGTTCTGTGCCACACTTTGGTGTAGTGTGAAACGCGTATTCGGACCGTAGCGGACGTGAATGGAACCCACTGAGACAGAAGTAAATATTCAGCAGTAAGGACTGGGATTCAGACAAGTAAATCCTCTCGGTCAACCACACTGTATCGGATTGTCCGCACGAAAAGCTGTCCGGAATAGTGTGAACACAGCCTTAAAATGAACACAAGGCATTACGTCATTGTCTGATGAGTATCCATCGAACTTCCACGATTTCTGTTGTCGTCCTGAGTACACCAAGTCACTCCGGCTCGAAGATGCCGTTTGGGGCCTTGAACTATCTGGATGGTCATCTGTAAAGGATCCCCCTCTGGAAAAGCAAAATGGAAGATTGAAATAGCAGCACAAAAAATTGACGAATTTCATATCCATGCTTATAACTCTGACTTCACTTCTTCGCCATTAGGCCCGATTACCAGCAGCAGCTCGGGAAACGAGGAAAAAGGCTGGACCCGAGAGAGCGGTGAAAATGGAGCCTACCATGAAGGCGGAACAAATCTATATTTTGCGAGGACCAACGAGAACTGACTCAGGGGGAAAATCGGGAGGCAACGCGTTTGTTGGCATTGCGAAGTAGTGAAGTGAGAGTTGACCACAACGCATATTTTCAGTTGTTTGGTCGGAACAAAATGGTGACTTAACCGTGATCTCTTCCTCTTCAATAATGTGCGCTAGCTATGATTAAAAACGTAGCAGCAAGCCAAAAATTCCGTTTTAGTGCTTTCCGCGCTCGAGTGTCAGGTCGAAAAATTTCCAGCCAGTTTTCTTCTATGGCCAGTGCGGTAACTATAAAAACGCAAATTTCTGACAAATTGTAAGTACGACCATCAAATATTAAATACGGAAATCTTGGTCTTTCTCTCTTAGAAAAACGAAACTTTCGAAAGGGATTTAACAAACCAACGATCCAAATTAGGCTGACTATATACAGTGAAAGTGATCTACTGTTCAACCTGATAATGCAGTTTCAGCTGGCTTTGTTTCATTTTTTTCGATTTTTGTTTTTGCGAGCCATCTGTGCTTTCTCTGCTGTGTTGCTTTTCATATTTTCTTACAGTCTTCGGCACGCCAGTTAAAGAGCCCTGAGACAAACACTTGAGCCCTACCTAAACATGTGCTTGCCTTTCGCTGGCGATCTACTTGCACTCTGCCACATATGTTGACCTTTACGCGGGCTAGAATCACCTGCGGATCAGAACAAGAAAAAGACATTTTAAGACACTCAGTTTAAAAATAACATTTTATTTAGATTTTTTTTTTCAAGAAACCATCTCACGTCTACAATATGATTAAGTTACAGTTAGCAACCTTTTTATGAATAAAGTTATGCAGTGGTTTAAACAAATTAAGGCTGAAGGAAATTTAATTTGAACTAACTTCAATCTTGTAAGATAAAGAAATGACAGGCGGATATCATCTACGATGGCGTTACTAAACGCACACTTGGAGAGAAATTGGTAAGAATGATATGCATACAGCTATTCTTCAAACGACCTCTCGCGAGCACACTCTTTGGTCCATGTTAGCTCCGCCAACATGAACCTGTCGCCAAATATTTAAAAACCTACACGAACGCTGTGTGAAGATGGCTTGAATGCTTACAAGTGTTTTTCCCGGTTTATTTGATTTTGACAGAAGGGTTAGAATGGATTGGTTTTCAGCTCTGCTATCAACAGTCCTTGACGAATATCAGTCATAACATTTTGAGACAATATTGTTTTAGGTCGTTATAACTTTACTGCGGTTACACAAGGGAAACTTAAGGGAAAAGTAAAAATTATGGGATCTCTTACTTTCCGAATCAAATCCTGAAGGCCAAACAGGGGGTCTCCTTAGCCCAGTCTAAAGAAAAAACATAAAATGGTGTCATTACACACACTACAAGCCAACCAATCGTAGCCAAAGATGGCCATAAAACAAGGAACGGGCATAATGCAATTATAGAAGTAAAGAACGGGAAGACGGAAAAACAGTCTACATCTGCTGAAAGTCATGCATGTATAAGCAGCAAAGCACATAAAAATGAAAGAGTTCTGAAGCGCGAGAAAACACCACCGACAAGTTTTGGGTAGAAAGCGCGGGAAACAATGAGACCTGTGCTACACAGGGAAAAAGTAGAAAACACGCACAGAGCGCAAATGGCAGAAACACGAGTTATAAGGCAAAAGGAGGGAAACTTAATACTATACAGCTGGTTCAAACACTGGTAAACAAACAACAAAAGTCAAACAAAACAGAAAAATAAAACCCATTTTTTGCCCGTAATTTGCTACAGAAATGAGTTGATTTTTCATTTTCTCTGATACCATGCAAGTACATGAGTGCATGACGTGAGCGCCGCACGCTGGCATTCTTAAGAGAGTTGTATTTCCTTCTTCCCCACAAGTGAGGAGGGAGAGAAAACGCCTGCGTGAGAGACTTGCATAAAGTAGCCTGTGCCAGGCTCCTAGGGAAGTCGCGAAAATATAACAACCAAAGCGAAAATACGTACGACGCGCGCGATTTGGGAAAGAGGGCGGTGGCGGTCCGCTCCCTCCCCAAGCCCCACGCATTTTTCGCGTCACTTTTTACCGAACGATTGCACTACTATCTTGGAGCCAGGAGCCTGAAAAAGGCTAAGCATGACGTAGAATTCGCGCAATATTCAAAGAAACTTGATAAAAGCAAAGTGACGGAATCAATGTTAAAGTCATACCGTACTCCCAACTTGAGAAACACTGTCAAAATTTTCATCAACTAGGAAATCAAATAGCAAATGGTTTGTAAGGCACAAGAGCGATAAAAGAATATGAACTGTAAAATTCATTAAGTCAAAGAAAATGAAACAGTACCGTTTTGTAAAGCCTGACAAGAATGCGCAAGAAAAAAGTGGTGCTTGAAATAAACCATGTTACACGAAAAAAGGTTTGAATATTAAGAATCTGAACAGAAAAGACAATATAAATTGGATACATTGACCCCCAAAAAAGATAAATGAAGGCATCCTACTGATGAACAGTTGCGACACGAAGATATATATTTTTTAGCAACTAAGATGATTTGCAGTCTGGCTACTTTGAACGTTTTCTTATATTTTTCCCGCAAATGCAACCAAAAACTTTGTAAACATTTTAATGCAAAGTTTCTCCAAGGAATACCCGTGAAAGTAGAGACCTTTCCATTTTTCCTGCTAACAGAGTCTATTGGCAGAGAAGTTTCTTTCTACGACTGTCTTCACGATTTAGATAATCACTTAACAAACATACATTGAAAGACCATTACAGTCTTTTTCAACAGCAATAACACCTTTGAAAACCTTAAAAATGAAGTGTTCTTACCTTCACTTCCAGAATAAACACTGCCGACTGAAATAGAAGAAGTTAAAGATTCAAATACAAACAGTCTTCAGGATGATATACTTTCTAATGTAGCCGTCAAAAGGTCAAAATTCTTACCTTCCGACTTTCGATCACTTGGTTGGCCACTGATAATTCTACAAGAAAAAAAATGGCATAATCGGCACTTGTATCGTATAGTTTTTACACGCTTCTGAATGGTGACTCTAAAAATAGAACTGAAATCCAAACCATGGTAACCTCATATAAGAAGCACGGAGGGCCAAGGTTGGATTTTAACCTAGTTTCTTGTAACACCAAGAAGTTTTAGGTAAGAGTCTTGCTTCTCACCACTGTTGGCCAAATAATATTTAATAACTGTATCTGAGGGATATAGAGATATCTGGGTTACCGATACCCTTTACAGAGGATACAACTAGCTTGGAAACTAGGTTGATCGAACGCATATTTGCCTGAAAACGAGGCTGCTTGGGCAAGAATAAACTCGCAAAAATGGCGTTTAGGGCTTTCCAAAGACCAAATACTAAGTACCGTAAATCCACCTATTAAAAGAGAGGGGGGGCGGGGTGGGGGGGGGGGGGGGGGGGGGGAAGATGGAGAGAGAAATCGGAGTAAGCAGATTGGGGAGAGAATGGATGGGTGGCGGAAACGGGGGGGGGGGAGGAGGAAAAAAGGAGAAAAAAGTCGTGTATGGGTGTAAAACAGCCCACAAGAAGAGGGGGCAAGGAGGGGGGGGGGGGGGGGGGGGGGGGGGGGGGGGGGGGGGGGGGGGGGGGGAGGTATTACCTTTCTTCCCCTGAAAAGGGAGGGCTTATTTATGGTACCTGAATTTCTGACTTAAACTGAACATAAGAAATGCAAGAATACCAAAAACATCAAACGGGAGGTTGAGGTTGTAAGTAAGAAGGGCGGAGCTGACCGCGAGGGAGCAGGACAATGGCGCAAGAGGAGAGACGAAGAGACCTCCTCTCTTGCGCGTGCTTCTGCCACGCAGGGTAGTAAAGTCCTGGAAGTACGATTAAACTTGTTGTTTTACTTACCTGGCACATCTTGCACATATACTGACTCGTATAGATTCTGATGTGGCCATTCCTTGTTTCACAGACTGGAGGCGTTTGATGTAAAGACAATGAGACAATATTATTTGGGGTAGAAAAGAAAGTACGGCAAACATGTTCTTACATCCTACAAAACAAGCACTAACCTGGGTGCCACAGACTTTTCATGCGCGGTTTCAGGTTTCGGTCACGTCTTTGAATATCGGCTAAATTTTCAGCTGAATTTTTTCAAAGTATCTTTTTGCAAAGTTAAAATTCACAGTGCTTTTTGCAAATTATGCCAAAGTTTTGAAATGTTTTTAACTAACACAGATGCATCCAGCCGCACGCGAGAAAAAACCTCTGGTACCCAGGTTAATCATGATTTTTCATAATATTATCCAGGTTCTTGAAATAATGACTGCAGCAGATTCCAAAACCACGAATGACGTAAACCAAGGAAAACAAAGGAGTCAAAATAACTGAGCCTAGAATAATGACAGCGATAAAACAAGGAAAAGTGACGGGTTTTGCACCAAGATGGTATAGAAACTGTCTCTGAATAAGGTCAAAAACTCTTCTTGCCCTAGCATGGCTTACAAGAGCTCGAACACAAATTTTTAACAGGACTTGTAATTGCTGGTCGCTCCTCAACATTTCATAAGTTGCTTAAGATTACCATCGTGCTTGATTTTCATCCTCTTAACGAGTAGTAAAGCAGAAGATATTTCCTTTGTTTTGCTCCTTATGTTCAACCAAAGAAGATTCACATCAATTTAGCAAGGGGAGTTTACCCCGCTTCGAAACGTCAACTTTAATATTATAACTACAAGAAGTCTCTGCTCTTGGTTTAGTCATTGCTACTGGGTCTTAGACAGAGTACAGGAAGACTTCTTAATGGTGGAGAACAAAGCGGAAGATTGTTTCAGCTGATCACAAAGTATAGGAAAGACTTTAAGCAAAAACCAAACAAAAACTACCTTGGATAACTTTGTTCCAGTGCTGCTCATGCTGGACACACCTTCATCTTCTAACTCATCCACATTTTCTAGGGCATAGAGAAAAAAGCTTCATACCACTAAATGCTGATTTTCCAAAAATTTAACACTTTTGTCAAACTACCCAAAAAGCAAACAAACTTGTCCCCTTAAAAGAGGAGTAGGTCAAATATTATCCTAAGAATATCAATACATCATCAAGAGAATAGGTTATGAGGACTTATAAAATGGTCACCTCAGGGAAAATGCTTTGATCTTTTACCAAATTCTCTCAACTAATTCTTTAAGGAAATGTATAGAGATCATTTTGAAGAATTTTTATGTAGATAATGGGTTGTGTCCTCTTTAATATAGCATGTGTCCACCTACATGTACTGTACAGCAGAAAGTTTCCTAGTTCAAATATTTTAAAAAATATCACTGTTTTTCAATGCCAGGTAATGTCAGAAGAAAGTGTATTTTTGATCCATACCTAACAACTCAGTGCCATCATCATGTAGGTCATCAAAATTCATCCCATTAATATCACGCCTCCCTGGATTCTTATTTTGAAGAAGAGCCTGTAGTTGTCGGCGATGCTGCTCGGCAGCATGCCGGGCCTTTTGTTTCCGTGATCTACTGGACCTACCATGTAAAGCAAGTATTAAATTATGAAATAAGGCAACAAGGTAAGGCAAGTGATCACTCCACATTTTCCTGTGAGTACAAAGAGAATGTTCTAGCCTGCATAGCATGGCAGTTTTGTTGGGAGCACTACTGAGCGCATAGCTGCAAAAATGCGCGCAAAGTGCGTGCAAACGAGCGGCATAGCCTTACGGCTTCTCTGCCCTCCCTTATCTCTTTATTACTTTGCACACCCAACCAAAACTGCCATGCTATGCAGGCTAAGAATGTTCAAAAACCTTGTGTACAGCCAGGACGTACTAACCCATAGAATGATGGTGTGCACTGCTCACCTCTGGCACCCCCCACCCCACCACCATAAAGAAGATGGTGCTTCACTTAGCCTCCTCTCTATCACTATTGGAAAAAGGGTGACTGAGATTTAAATATCCCAGCCTGCAGTAGGCCTGCAGTAGCTTGCAGTGCTGTCTGTTCAAAAGCTTCATGTAAACAAAAAATATTAACTTTGATCTTATTTTCCAGAGGCTAAAAATTTGATGGCATCAGGCTCATCAAATGAGCACCCCGTGATCCCCAGTCGAGGTGGATCTTCAATGTGTACACTCACTGAGTCAAGTTTTGACCACTGCACTCAAGTTTGAATTTAAAGCAGGGAGAGAGGAGGCTGTCACTAACTATTTTAGTTGGCATGTAAATACAACAAGCAGGCGGGGAATCAAACAGCACTGAAAATTTCTTCGGTTCTATTTTCCGTGAACTTTTTTGAAAGTAGCCAGTGGTAACCTTCAATGGTAGCTGGGGGAATTCCCCTGCTTAACAACAGCCCTTGGTGCAGGTGGAGCAGGCTAGTGGGGCAGGCTTAAAGAAACGAAAGCTACAACCAGTTGTAAAAATATTTGAGACACTGTACTTTTTTTTGCTTTACTGACCTGCTTGTGGTCCCCTCCTTCCCTTTATATCAAAGTTGCTAGCAATACAATTGACCAAGCTCAAAAGTTGGAGGAACAACTTTAAATGGAGGGAAGGAGGGAGGTGAGTATAATATCTTGCAGAGGTAACACAAAGCAAAATATAAACATACTCGTGTGATATCACTGATGGTGTGTTTCTATCATCTCTGATTTTATCATCTCTTCCCACGTAAAGCTCTTCATCAAGATCATCATCAGCGTAACTCCCAGGGCCTGTTACTGTTGTTTGTCTGTTGTAGATCACGGTTCTTTCTGCAGGCATTTCCTGTGAGATAATTATATAAGTGAAAGTGGAATTGTTATAGATAAAATCTGTTCTCAGGTTAAACCAGAGTTTTCCTTATCTCCTATGAATAATTAGGGCTAGGAAACAAAAGAAAATTTTGAATCAAACTAAGTTAAATACTACTTCAACCTGAGATCAATTTTACCTACAACAGAAACACTATTCACCATATGCCTGTTCCTTACGCAAAAAGTATTGGACACCACTTAAACAGTACCAGAAATTGATTGAGAAAGAGTTGGAGAAAAATAGCTAAAATAGAACGCCTCAACTGAGAGACACATATCAGACCTAGATATTATGCACAGAAATTCTCCATATATTTCCTTAAAGAACTACTTAAGAGAATTTAGTAAAAATCAAAGATCACAGCATTAAACCTTAGGTGATCATTTTATTAATTCTCATAATCTTTTCTGTTAGAAGAAATTTGCTGTTGATCACTCTTGGGTTACAGGTTTAAGGGGGTGTTTTGGGTTAATAATTAATCATTATTAGCCTGGGAAAGCTTGGAAAATTTTGGTGCTTAAGTCTAGAGTAAGGTTGCAAAGCACAGCTGAATATTTCTTTTTATGACAGGTGCAATGGCTGTACTTGAAATGAGCTATGTTTTATAATTTTGATATTAACTATGATGTTATTCTCACCATTTCACCATTTTGTCCCCATGAAGAAGCTGAAAGGAAAATAAAGTTTAAATATCAGCTTACAATCGCACAACATTGATTAGCATGACAAGTAAACCAAAAGTAAGAGGTAAATAAATTAATTACTTCCCACTTATTAACTGTCAGTCAGTTTTTTAAGATACTGTCATTAGGCATTTTCCCTTTTTTTGTACTCATTATAGCCTGAGAAAATGGCCAACATTTAGTGACGCTACCATTGGTTTCCCCACCAAATAATGTCTGAGAAACGAGCACAGAAATTCCGTACTGATGACACCTCACTACCCAGATCTGGGTAGTGCTTCTAATTATTGGTCAGGCCATGTGAGAAATTTGATTCAACCACTCAGAAGGACTACCCAGATCTGGGTAGTGACGCGTCATCAGTATGGAATTTCTACAGCTTGTTTCTAAGACAAATTGGCGGGGTAAGCCAGTAGTAGCGTTGCCAAATGTCGGGTGTTCTTTCAGGCTATACCAAATAAAGATAATATTTTATTAAGAGTATGATTTAGAAGTGGACACAAACTGGAACTCAACGAAAACTCACTGGAAAACATGTTAAAAGTTTCCTAGCCACAGCACAAACCTATTTATATTCATGCTTTAAATTTATTCATTATACAGGGCTTCTGATATTTTGCGCGGTCGCGGACCCGTGAAATTCAGGTATTTCCGCGAAATCCCGCGAAATTCCCAAAAAAACACGAAATACCGCAAAATCCGCCAGAAATATTTCCAAATACATGTCGGCAAAACATATTTAATACTTATCTTGGCTATTAGACCTGTTCTATTCACCCCAAACGTCCAAATTTATCTTGAAACTTCGTCACTGCGACAAGTAAACAACGTCTCAAAACTACCAGGCGTTCTTAGATGAACGTTGCGAAAAACTGGGCACTAACCATAATGTTAACAGCTTTAGCATTCGCTCATTTCTCGAGCGAACTGTTGTTGAAAGAGCAAATGATTATCCTTGTTAAAAAAACGTTAAATAAATGCTGGTCATATCAACGCAAAATTGGCCGATTTTTCCGCGAATTTGCCCCTGAAAATCCTGCGAGATTTTGCTTTTTTTTCCGCGAAACATCAGAAGCCCTGATTATATAGTTAAGTTCAATGTAGGTTACTTACTCCCTTGGTAACCCAGGGAGCCCTCATCAGCAGTCCTGGTTGGCCTGTGCTGCATATTGAACCACTCATCAAAGTCATGTGAAGGAACGGCTGTTTTGCTATTCCACGGAGGTCGTTCGTTGTTGCCCACTACAATAAAAAAGCCAACATTAATCTTACTGTTTAAATATAAGATCCCCATTTAAGGTGTTTCAGTACAGTTTTTTGGAGACCATACCAATGTTTTTCAATCACGGTGACCTTAAAAGTGGTCTACGAAAAACTGTATCAAAACAAAATAAGCTATATACTGTAGGCCCAATATTTAGGAATAACCTCAGGATTTTGGACATCTAAACATTAACACATCTAAACATTATACCTGTTCTAAGTGGTCGCATGTTGTCCTTGTCCACAGCTCCACCACCCTTTCCAGGCTTGCTTGAACCACTCAGCCAGGGTCGTGGGTAATCTCGACCAGCTTTGGAGGCACTGCTAGGTCGGTATTTTGATCCCTCTGTATGGATATCCGGCCCTGCCCAGGATTTGGCTAACGCATTTCTACCTTCATCAAATGAATGCCTCCCCACTGATGTTCCTGTGAGGCCCATTGATCTCGTAAATGCTGCCTTTGATCCTGATGGTGGGAGAGATGACCCAGGACCCTGCATAATCAACAGAAAAATGATGTCTTAACGTAAAAATCCTATTTATCAAAATATGTTTCAACAACCTGTAACACTATACTAAGTAATAATATTGTGCTTAAGAGTAATAAAAAATGTCATCTAAAATTGACAAAATACTTTAATAGAAAGCAAATTAAAAGAAACAAATAAAAACAACTGTACCTTGGAGCTTCCTTCAGCATACATCTTTTTTAAGACTTTGATAAGAAAAGGAACTGGTTCTTCAGGTGTATCTTTGATGATTTTTGCCATCAGATCCTGAAAAAAATTCAATAACCTTCTTTCAGTATCATTTAGGTCCAGCTGAAACACAGTACAACAACACCCCTGTACTGGACCAAACTTAACAACAGTTTTAGTTTGGTTTAAATGAAGATGTGATTGTCGCAGTGGTAATTGCAATTTAAGCAATATATTGCAAATTACCGTATTTCCTCGTACAAATAAAGGCCGTTGCTCTATTAATCGCCTCCCTCGAATAATTCCCCCCCCCAACTCCCATAGGTTACCCGCAAAGGATACCCATAGTGTTAAACTTGGAGGATGAAGCTAAAGTGGAGTCTGATTCAGCAAAACTGATCAGTGACGATTCAAGCTGTGATGCTGAGGACATTGACATTGAAAATTAATCAAGGAACCAAATTGGGAACACTTAAAATGCCAATGTTCAGTTTATTTCATGTGATTACTTTTTTCATTTTATGGGAAAATAGAACAAAATTTTTAGGGCTCTACTTCTAGTGAGCTATATTTAAAATAATGGCCTCCCTCGAATTATTGCCCCCTTCTGGTGTGAAAAAAGAAATAATCAACACTGGCTATTATTTGAGGAAATACAGTCACCCCCCAAAATTTCAGGACTTCAACAGGGTCTAGCCCATGGCCTCTACATTAGCGCTGCAGTGCTCTACCAACTGAGCTATGAAGACCCAATCATTTGGAGCAGGCCAATTTGTTGAGTTCATCTTAAACCGTTAAAGGAATGAAACATAGAAATAAAAGAATGAAGATGATGTGGACTGCGGAAATACACATTTGTAGTTTGGTGTATAGCACACAACATTAACTTCAGCAGAGGCTGTCATTACATTATGATATCACACTCTGGGGTTTGCAAACGTCATTGTGCAAATGCCCAGGGGTTCCCTGGGTCAAACCCCCAGAACAACACTGATAAGTGCATTATACTATTATTACTATCAGTATCATTATTATTATTATTATCATGATAATATTATTATCATTGTTATGATTTTCTTTAAATAAATCTTTATTTGTCATCATCATTATCATCATCATCACTGTTATTGTTGTTATTGAGCCTAACATTGACATAGAATTGGTATTAACTTTAACCAAAGTTCTTTGGTGCAAGATGCTTTCGAATATGTTTGAGTAATTAAAAAAAACGAAAGACAGAAAGAAAGAAACTGAATATATTTTAGCAGTGATCCCCATGCCAGTAAGGTGAAAATACGCGTGTAAGGCTCTTTGTTAGACAAACACGGCAAAAAGTTTAAACTTAAAGGTATTCTAGTTGCATAATTTAAATTATGTCATAACAATAAACGTAAACAGTAAAAGGAACAGCGTGACGGTAAGCGTCGTGAACATGATAGGCACTTAAGCTTAATATTGTTTCGAATTAAATTCCCACCAAACAAACAGTGGGATTTTATTTACGATCTTAATATCGTTACCTCAAATAACGCTCCAATGTGATGCCTCTCTAAGTAGGCTTGTACTTGCTTAGCAGCCATGCTTTAAAATAAATCACACGCACTCTAAAAAAGCAAATGTTTGTTTATGAAAGCTATGTGTTATTTTCCGCCATTTTGTATTTCCCCGGTAACCCTTCCCAAGCTTCCCTGCTGCTTTGAAAGTGACCGCTAAGAGCTCTGGGAGCGTGACATTTGAGAGACACTTTGGTTCAGCATATATGACCAAAGAGGGGTTGTTGGTGAGTTTCGGCCGGGAAGCGCAATCGATACGTGCATGTAGAAGTGGACGATGTTGTCTGCCCGAAAAGCGGTTAGTATCCTAGGACGAAGAGGGCGATTTGCAGCCCTGAGGACAAGCGTCTGTGAGCTGCATTCATTGATTCAACGACGAACGGTTGTAGTTTGTTGCCCGAGGTAAGTTTGATGCAGATAAGTGGCGACCGCCATGCATGATTCGATCACTGGATGTTCTTGTACATTTAGACTTCGATATTGCATGAATAGTCTTTAGCTTATATGCGGGCGTAGATGTCAACAACTATATACCTAGATCTGATTTTCTTTAGTTAAACTATTAAAAATTTGAGATAAGATTAAGAACGTTGGGTTTTTGTGCAAGATATTTTGGTGGTAATTGGACTACAATCAGTGTAGTTAAGCTTAGTCGACCGTACCGTGCCTATACAGTTCCGATTATATAAGAGGTGAGCATGGGTGCACGCAGAAGTGATATGTTTCTTCGAATATTTAATTTGATGTGGTAAGATTCCCGTACAGTCCCATACATTTATCATGCATTGTTTCAATTCCAATTCATATTTGTGCGAAAACGTGTGAAGTTGCTGCATGCACAATAAATGTAGGGGGTTGTACGGAAATCTTACCCCTAGCAAATCGCATGAGCTCTGGCTATAATGCTATGTGTGTTATGATCTATTCTGTTTACATGTAGAAGCCCTTCAAATGATCCAGCAGGGCCAACCAGAAAGTGGCAGAGATAGACTGCCACATTGGGGATACAGGGGTACATGTATATCCCCAACTCTTTAGAAAAGTGTGTGGGTTCTTTAATGTCCCATACAATTTAAATGGGCCAAGGTTGTGAGGCGGGATCTACAGTTAATCCAAGAAGATTAGAGGGTCTAACCAGGGCTCGAAAAGAGTCCCATCCGTTAGCCTGGGACAAGTAGTTTTTCTTGCGGGGCAAGTAACTTTTAAAGCTTACTTAATGCACAATGGGCAAGTATTAAGGGTCCAGGAAAGTAATCCTTTAACAAGATCATTAGCTAAGACGAACAAGAAGTGACCTCAGGCAAGCAAAATGTGCAAACATCTTGCCTAAATGACAAGCTGGAATTCAAATTTATTTGAGTTTGAGTGGGAGGGGGAGGGGGGTGGGGTGGGTGCTTATCCGAGGCTCGGCGCTTATTCGAATAAATACAGTGGTTAAGACCCTTAGCATTGGTGTCGGTCTGGCCAGGCTCTGAACTCATAGCCTCCTGCTCAGTAGACTGGCAATCAACCATGGATCCATAATAACCACAACCTCTGGTCATATTTATAAATCTGTTAATGTTGCTGAAGGTACATAAAGATATTACCAGAGATGCAGACTTATTTTGATTTTGTTATGTAGATTCAGTCAATGTTTAGTAAAAGACATCTCCATGATAGCCATTTTTAAAAGTTTACATAATGTATAAATTTCTTCTTTTAGGTATTCAACTGGCTCTAGACAGGTGTTATCTTCAAATCTTTCAAGATATGGCTTTCGGTGGCTCAGCTCAGAAAGTGAGTTTTCGTTGAGTTAATTGACAGTGTGGTTGTGTGGAAATACATGCAGATCTCTTCCAGGGGGTCTACGAGGCTAGTTGATCTTAGGGTTAAGTTTGAACCATTAACTTTTCACTGGAATAAAATAAGAATAATGCACTTCTCCTGATATGGGTTTAAATTTCTTCACTGTTAGCGTACAGGTATGTGTCTGCATCACATCTTAGTTGTCACTTCCCTCCGACCTGCACTATAGGGTTAATTATGGGTTTGTGAACTGTCATGCTAACTTGTAGGTCTTTGGATTGCAACACTTTAAACCCCAATATCAACATACAAATTCTCCAGACTGATCTCGATACATTTGCTTAAAAAGCTTGTTGAGAGTTTGATAGAAGATCAAAACACTTTACCTTTGGTGATCATTTTATTAAATTTATTCTTACCGGTAGACCAAAAGAACTCCCCAGCAGTTTAATTCCCCACTTCTAATAATATTGATTTACCCAGCAACTTGAGTGGCAGCTCCGATCTGGTTCAGCTATTAAAGTGAAACAACTTTAACAGTACTTTCACTTGTTGCCACTGGTTTTTTAATAGTTGTTTAAACTATTCACAGTCCCTTATTTTTCTGTAAGATTATTGAGATCAAGCACTTTGCACAATTATTGCTGGCTCTCTTGGTTTCAAATGTTCCAAGTCTAGCCTGGGATGAGTGTCAAATCTGCTTAGGGGATGAGCAATGGTTTGGGAGGAGGCAAGAAAAATAGAAATTTGCCTCTCTGCCACTACTGTGTAAACCCCCGATGCTGATCCCCTTTGTACATATGAAACCAAGATGGCTGCCCATAACTCACAGCTCTCAAACTCGATGATCTTATGGGGAAATAAGGGGAAATACTCGTCATTATCTCACGAGTCAAGTTCTAATAGAATTCATACATTCCCTCTTTAATAACAGGTCTCCCTCCTCACACAAATGTACCATTACCAGCACTGTCTCCCACAATGGAAATGGGGACAATTGTCAGCTGGGAAAAACAGGAAGGTGATGAGTTAAGTGAAGGAGATCTTTTAGCTCAGATTGAAACAGACAAGGCCACAATGGACTTTGAGACTCCTGAAGAAGGCTTTCTGGCCAAGATTTTAATTCCTGCAGGAAGTAAGGATATTCCTATTGGCAAACTGCTCTGTATAATTGTGGAAAATAAAGATGATGTTGATGCATTCAAGAACTTTGTTCCTGAAGAAGATGTACCAGCTGCACCACCAGCTCCAGTAAGTAGTGCAATCAGTATTTTCTTTTCTTCCAGCTCGCAGATTCAACATACTGATTGTAAAGCATGCTCCCTTGTTCCCTGTTTTCTTATGAAGATACAGTCATTTAAAGACAATTTTCAATTCAGGTGTAATATAATTGTTGGCATGAGCAGACTTATCAATACTTTTAGCACTGCATATGGTTATAATTTACTTTTACATTTTCTGTACCTCAAGATCACCTTTCTTCAAATGTTAATAATTAAACCAGCGTAAGTGTGATGTCATGAAACCAAAGTACAGTGTATGTATAAAATAATTTTGAGAGATTCAGAATATAGATAGTCTACACTAAGTAACCCACTATCTAATTAAAAAGATCATGGTAGTGTTATTGAGTAACTTTTAAGTAAGGAGTGTAATTTTTAATTATTTATCTATTTTTTTTTGTTTTCAGGAGAAACCTGCTGAGACCACCACCCCACCCCCTCCTCCACCACCTCCTCCAGCTTCATCTGCAGCCCCACCCCCTCCCCCACCTATGACTTCTGCCTCTCCACCCCCTCCTCCTCCACTTGCAACTGGTGGGAGAGTGTTTGCCAGTCCATTGGCAAAGAAGATTGCTAGGGAAAAAGGCATTGAATTGGCTGTAAGTATTTACTTTTCTTTCCTCTTTAGGGAATTTTTTCAGTTATTTAACTAAAAACCGCAAATCAAGCTACACTGTAAATGGAAGGAGTAAGGCCCCTAATGACTTATGATGTGATCATGTCACACTTTCCTTTTGTTTGATTGTGATTTACATTCAATTTGAATGGAAAAGGAAATGGTTATAATTAATCTATATATAATCTAATCTAAATGTAACAAAAAATGTTTCAAGATTGCAGGTGAGATTGTAATGTAAGAACATTGTTCTTGCACTATGTCTTTGGAACACATTTTACTGTCTATAGGAGAGAAAGGAAAACATTTCTGTCACCACTGATGTTGTCTGTATCTGTTTGTAGGCTCTACAGGGTAGTGGTCCCGGTGGCCGAGTGGTGGCACAAGATGTTACCGTGGCAACACCTGCTGTTGCAGCAGTGGCACCCACTCCTGTGGTTGCACCTGGTGAGTTTTGATTGGCTAGAATGTGTTGTGTTTAGCAGACTCTCAGCTTTTTATTTGTTTGTTTATACTTCTATACTATTTCTTCAATGTTCATGCCATTTTATGATTTCATAACATGGTGATGACACTGTTGTACTATTAATGTCATTTACAAACATGAAAAGAAATAAAGCAAGTACAAATGATAGTTATGAAATTCCTCATTTTTCATCATTGATCTTGAATGTGAAAATCCTTTTATTGTTTTACAGGAGCAGATTTTACCGATATTCCTCTTACAAATGTCAGGAAGGTGGGTTTAATAAACAAATGTTCTCATTAAGGGATGTCAATAAGATTTCAAGTTTGCTGAGTGGGTAGATACAAATAGTAGGCGGAGAATTGAACTGTTACAAAGTCCTTTTGCTTTTACTTTCCCTATTAAAGTTTCTTCTGAATATAACAAGGGATGCTTATGGTAGCCGGGGTAATTCCCAGCCCTGAAGATGGCTATAGACCACTAAAGTCTCTCCATTTATCATTTCATCAAACTAAAGCTTGAGAAAATAGTGGGTATATGTAAGTAGTCCTCAGTAGCCTGCTAGAAATCTCTCTGGGTTACTTTGGTGGCGGGGCAAACCATTTTTTGCCCTCCTGCAAGAGAGCCTTGGAGAGCTTGCTAGCAGGCTACGACAACAGTAATTATATCAAAAGTATTGATATTTTTTCTTCACCTACACTGTATTGATAGGTCATCGCTAAACGGCTCTTGGAATCCAAGCAGACAATTCCTCATTATTACCTTTCAGTGGATATCCAAGTGGATGATTTGTTAGAGTGAGTGTATTTCTCTGTTTACTGATAATAATTTTACAGTGCAAATGTTGTTTTATTTTTATTATTGCCCTTTAGAGCCACCTATGCGAACCAGCCTAATAATTAAATAAAACCTGTTGGGCCAAAATTTGACATTTAAAATTACTGTAAATCCTCTAAGGCCCCTGAGACACTTATTTTTTTTTTTCGCACACATTTCATGGGGCCTAGTAGAGACAGACCAGGGGCTTGAGAGGGGGGCTTGTCATAAAGAGCGAGGACATAGAGTTGAAAACCTCAAGCACATGTAGTTGGAAGTCACGCAGCCAGAGATCAAGAACAAATCTGAACTTCCAGCACATGAATAACCGTAATGGATCAGTCTACATCATGTGCCTTAGAGTAATCCACTCTTATCATTTATTAAGGAGGGAAGTGGTGCGGGGTGGGGGGGAGGGGTGGGGGGCTTATTTACATTGTTTCCCTGAAAAGGGTGCTTCTTAGAGAGTGCCACTTATTTGTGAGGGGTGTTGGGCCTAATAGAGAATTTATGGTCCAGATTTGGGTCGTATTCTTATTTGAAATCAGCAAGAATTAAATCAGGGATATTAGAGCAGGGTGTATTTGGTCAAATTTTTCAGCCGGTCAAAAATTTGTTTGGCACCATATGATCGGAGCCCCCTTTTTCCAAATTTTTTATACTCATGTGATTTTCTTTTTTTAGAGTTCGAAAGCAGCTGAATTTGGATTCAAATGGTGCATACAAACTGTCAGTGAATGACTTTGTCCTTAAGGCCTGCGCTCTAGCTTGTAAAAAAGTTCCCGAGGCAAACTCTTCATGGATGACAGACTTCATAAGACAGTAAGTGTATCTCCGGAAACGAAATAATTTTTATATCCTGTTTTTCTGGGGGCAGCATGACCAAGTGGTCAGCGCATCAGACTTGCAATCCGGCAGTCCCGGGTTCAAGTCCCGCTCTGGCCACTTGCTGGATTTGTTCTTGCTCATCCCAAGTTCAAATCCTCGGCCAAGCTTGTAAAGAGCCAACAGGTTGCCTCCTGCCAGTTGGGGCTTTTAATCCTTTTATGTTGTATTTGAATTATTTGTTTCTAAGTATTTGAGTGGAGTGCTTGTAAACTAGCTGGATAAGCTAAGTGCACTTCCTTCTATAGACAAGCCTTGAAACCTTTTTTAACCTTTTTTCCTTTCTACAGCTTCCCCAAATATCGGGCCACAAGAGGCTGGCTAGAGCTTCCTTTGACACAATAATAAAGTATCTATCTAAAATGTGGTACAAAGTTAACTTGTATCCCTACCTATTTCAAACTGCCAACCAACCTTTAACTTGTTTTACCTCCATAATTTTCTGATGGTATTAATGAGGAGCATACCCTTTTGCAGACACAATAACGTTGACATTAGTGTAGCTGTCAGTACAGAATCAGGACTTATTACACCGATTGTCTTCAATGCAGATAAAAAGGTACTGTACTAAAATGTTGTATTATACATATTTATATTCCGTGCTGCTTGGTAAAAATGGTGTACACACAATACTAATTCAGCTGAGCTTATTGTTCAAAGAAACGCTGTGATTATACTCGATGGGTGCAAAAATTAATTTAGCCCAAATCACCTTTAGAACAAAAAGGCTATCTCATTTTGTTGCTGACGTCTTGAAAGCAATACGAACAGTTAGTAATTTTTTTTTTCGGAAAACGTGTTGATACATTATGCTACCACTCAAACTCAACCTTCTCCACTGTTTATTTTAAACTTTGTCCAATTACTTCTGTCAGGGTTTACAAGACATAAGTGCTGACACCAATGCTCTAGCAGAGAAAGCGAGGGATAACAAACTTCAACCTCATGAATTCCAAGGAGGAACAATAACAGTATCAAATCTCGGCATGTACGGAGTCAAGAACTTTTCTGCAATCATAAACCCACCTCAAGTAAGTGTGCAAATGTGCGGTATTTATCATGAACATGCTGGGAAAACCTGAATTTCCGGTTGAAAAGTCAGACCAGGTCCACACGAATCCGGAAATTGATGAACCCGCATATTTTTTTTTTTAACCGGATTCTTAAACAACTTTGGAGAGTTTCTCTCCTCCGTAAGGGACTCTTTATGTTGTAGGGAGGCTAGGAAGAGGGAAAAATGATCGCGTGTGGAGGACGTTCCCGTGCTAGTCTCTTTCACAGCCGCTCGGGCCGAAGTCACGCAATGGGGGTGGGGAACATTGCGTGACTCCGGCCTGAGCGGCTGCAAAGGAAACTATTCCTGCGCTTGCTGTTTTTTTTTTTTTAATTACTGCTACAACGGTTACTCACGGATCGGTGTTTTACAAGTGAGAAAATTCCTTAAAGAGTAAATTCCATGATACATTTTCGTTAGTCGTTTTGTTTGGACGAAACCGTGCTTCAAACCATCATCATCACGGCCCTGTTTTAGACTAGTAGTATTTCGTCCGGATGGTAGTCCTGCCGAGCCTCCACTACTCTGGGTACCACAGGCTTTTTTTTTTCTTGCAGACGGCCGAATCCTTTGGTATCGGCTAAAAGCCGAAGCCACGATCAGCGGGAAGTCCGGGGGGGGGGCGGGGGGGGGGGCGGGGTTCTCAACAAAGTTAAAGTTTCATACTGGAAGGGTGCACCCCCTTACCCCAGCTATGTACCATTTTTGATAGCGAAGGTACCCCTTTTTGTATCTCTTTCATTGACAAATACCTAGTTTAGAACGTCGTTGCATCCCTTTTAACTGCTCTATCTTTAAAGAATGAAAAAATCACAAAACCAATACATTTTTCGACTTTTTCAGAGCCATGATTTCTTCTCTTGGCCCTCTTAGGCCCAATTCAGACGCCGGACCTAATTCGAATTAAGGCCGACCCAAACTATTAAGAACGGCTGAATAGATTCAGACGCCGATCTTAATTGCAGCTGAAATAAATTCCGAAAAGGAGAAAAACGGCTCATTTCGGTCAAACTGCTTACAAAATACGTTTTAATGATTTATGCATTTGGTTTGGTACATGAACAGTTCGGCGTCTGAATCAAAGGCGTTCCAAAGTCGCTCCAAAGGCGAAATTCCCGGCCGGGCTAGGCGAAAAGAACGGCTGAGCCGTTCCAAATTGAAACAGGCGTTCCTAACTGATTCAGACGCCGAACTTTCCATGCACTTAATTCAATTTATTAGGTTCGGCTCATGAAAAGTGCGGCGTCTGAACCGGGCCTTGGGTCTTTTTGCAGACGGAAAGACAGAATACCCTACCATTTTATATTCTTCAACTAGTGAAATCCCAACCTCGTTCCCAGGTTCTCTATCAGGTTTGTGAAATCCCAACCCTTTCATATACCAGAAGCCTGGAAAAGGTACCCCTTTCGGGAGAAACCTCCCCCTATAGGCCATTATAGGGAGTACTCCCCCGGGGGCGAAAAGTCTCGACCATGTAGGATAAGCCTCGACTCGATTGACTGAAAGAGTCTGCTCGCAGTCTTACCCGGTTAAAGTAACGAAGGCTGTCTTTCGATGATATAAACAAGCTCCAGTACATAGATACAGTGCATTACCCGTCCGTTGTCGTTTTTCCCTTTTCATAGGCCTGCATATTGGCAGTAGGAAAAGCAGAGAAGCAAGTCATAGTAGATGAAAATAGCGAAAAAGGGTAAGTTGGTTAAACAAGTTTATAGCTTTCAAGAAAGTTTTATCCTGATTCAACTTGCGCTAGAGGCTCGTCTGCGGCTCAGGAATCAGCTACATAATCCTTAACGTAACACAGGGAACCCAAGAAAACTGACCCTTTTTGTTTTGCTTTGGACTAGCCGCCAGCTAATTAGAAGTTGTTGTTGTTGCTCACCCTAGTCATTGTCGGGGACTCTCGCCGATCTCGTTCCCATTAGAGCTCGCGTGTTTTATGCGCGCACGCTTTGCACGTCTGTTACTCATCTGACTACAATTCTCAAACGCTCGGCCAATAACTACAGGTTTCCGTTTGCAGAGCGGCAAAAAGTTATTCAGGCCAATCACACTTCGCGCTGAAATTGAAATTAACCAATCACATCTCGAGGCAAACACATGTAGCTGTTGTCAGTCGCGGGCAAATGCGTATGACCATTTTTTTTCTTCTGATTGGTCAAGTTTTTGACACATCAGAAGTTAAACATTTTCCCGCGCTTGACGATAGCTGCATGGATTTGCTTCGTGATGTGATTGGTTCAACTCAATTTCTTTGAAAGGCGTGAGATTTAATAGCCAATCGCAACATTGTATCGACGGCCTCAACCAGTCCGTGTGCTGATAATCTGTCTTCTTGTTCTCAACAGTTACACCACTGGAACAGTCATGTCTGTCACTCTCAGCTGCGATCACCGAGTTGTAGATGGCGCCGTTGGAGCGCAGTGGCTGTCCGCTTTCAAAAACTATCTAGAAAAACCCCTTACAATGTTGTTGTAAAATACGACTTTAATAGAGCCTATCGTAGTTTTTCTGAATTTTTATTTCAACTCGGGTAAAAAAATTGTTAAAACTGCTGGAAAGAGAGCCTTAAAATAGAAAACTGTGTGTCTTGTTTAGAAGAGATGAGGTAGGTAAATTTATTTTTTGTTTGTTTGTATTTTTACAGACGTATACATGGTGTAAGGACTTTTTTCTGTTTGTTTTGCAAAGTTCGTGCCTTTAGAAAGCAAGCACTTACAACCTCTAGGCCTTATCCATTGTTTTTACGATGTTTTGAAGTCCATATTTGCAGGGTCTTCATATTTTAGGTAACTCTTTCTAGCTGTACTAATGGTCTCTCTGGCCGAACCGAACATTAACAATTTAGGGAAAAATACCATGCATATGAGACGCTGCGTTCAACCGGACTGCTTATCCTCGAATGAAAAATGATTAAGGTTCACGGCGCCTTATGTGAGCGCAAAAGATGCCAAGACCTATACGGTAAGAGGTTTGAAATGATTACTGAGTCGTTACTGTGGTGTTTGGGAACAAACTTGAAATGCTTGAACTGGAATTGGAGGCAAGACAGTCTATCGCGATTGATAGGTTTAATTAACCAAATGTGTATATTTTTAACCAGATTTGGGCAGAACAAATAAACATAAAAAATGCCTTGAAATGTGGCTTGCCGACATCACGGCCTCCTCGTATTCTTTATTGCTACTTTAACTATTATTTTCCGCATGGGAAAGTCTTCAACATGAACTGAGGCGCGGAGTCTTTTTCAAACCACCGATGTTTAATATGTACAACACTCAATCGATATTGAAGGTAAAAAATAGGATTTCGTTACGGCAATTTTGTTTTTGTGTGTGCTTGTTGGTTTTAGAGGTTACTGAAAAAGATACCACTCAACCGTAGGGACCTTTAATAAGCATCGACGACGAAATGGGACTACGACGCCGACCGGAAGTGAAATTTTCCCACGCGAACCTTCCAGCGAAACGTCCAGCCTTCGTCGACGACGAAATTCAGGGAGGTTTACCGTCGTCGCTAAAACGTAAGTATAAAACTATACTTTTTGGTTGTAAATCGCTCTTTTTCCCCCTTGTCATTCAGTACAAGTAGAAATACCGTATTTATTCGAATAAGCGCCCCACCTCGAATTAGCGCCCACCTCGAATAAGCGCCCATCCTAAAGGCAGAAAAAGTTAATAAGCGCCCACCCCCTCCTCTTCCCAGTCAAACTCAAATAAGCGCTCACCCCAGTCCCCACCCCACCTACTTGAGTGAATAAATTTTAATAAGAGACTTCCCCGAGGACGGAGTTTTCCTCAGAGTATTTTACAGAAACCTTGCTTTGTTACTTCTTCGCGTTTTGTTATTAGCATTTGTTGTTTCGTTGCAAAATAAACATAGTTCACTTGGTGAAAATTTAATAAGCGCCCACCTCGAATAAGCGCCCACTCTCAAGGTCCAAAAATTTAATAAGCGCCCAGGGCGGTTAATCGAATAAATACGGTATATTCTTTATGGATTAGCAGAATCCAAATGTTAAGCACTTTGTCGATTTCTTCGCCTGCTAACTTGAATTTATTTTTCAGGTTCGGTTTGTGTGAAAACCTGCAGAGTGATGGCGGAACAACCAGTTGCTTACGTTTTGCCTCACTGTGAGTGGTGATTCGTGTGTCCTCGGCGTCCATCTTTCAAACGTTTGCTGAAGTCTGCTATTCTGTCTTCGTACATCGTTCATCTTTTAAAAGTGTGCTGAATCTTCGTATAAAGCGTACATACTTAAGAGTTTGCTGCTGGTCTACTATCGATCTGTGTTTAGTGAATCTTCCAAAGCGTTCATCTATCAAAAGTGTGCTTAAAATTTTACTTTGGATTAAGCTTACATATTTTTCTTTGGAAAATGCGTGCTACTCCTGGTGCATGCATCAAACCGGGTTGTTTAGCTCGGCGTCCGTTGTGCCACAAAGTAAATTTACCGGTGAGTTGTAAAGCTCAGCGTCTGTTGTGCCACAAAGTAAATCTACTGAGTTATGTAGCTAGGCGGCCGTAGTGCCACAGAGTAAATCTACCGAGATGTGAAGCTCGGTGGCACCATTTCATCATCACTTGTGATATTTTCGGCACTGGACAAACGAACATTTTAGCAGGTACAAAAGTCGGACCGGATCAACTCGGACCGCCAGTCCGGGTGGGATCAACTCGGATCGACTCGGATCGAATTAAAAAATAGAGCCGAAAGTACTCAGGATAGCCTGAAAAGTGTTTTCAATGCATTTAGGAGGAAACTATCGTTGGCTGCCCCTGAAGAGTGTTCTCATTCCTGTTTGTTTTTTTCTGCAGGACTTCTGAAACTTTATTTTAGTGATACACTAGTGAGCAGCACACATACATTTCCAGTGAACATTGTCAACTTGGAAGGAGGAGAAACTATGCTCGCTTGGGACAAAGGAAATTTTCATGCCCCGGGCGAGAATCAAACTCTCGACCCTCCGGTTCAGTGGTTAGAACGTCCGATCTTTAGAGTATGTTGAGGGCCGCGAGTTCGATTCTCGCCCAGGGTACGAAAATTTTCGTTGTCCCGGGGCAACATGGTTTCTCCTCGATCCTTTCAAGTTGAAAATGTTCACTGGAACTGTATGTGTGCTGCCCACTAGTGTATCATTAAAATTAATAAAAATAAAAATAAAATTTATTTACGCAACCACGAGTTCGTGAGAAAAAAAAAAAAAAATGGCGGATGAAAGGTAAGTGACGCCGACTGATTTTATTTTTCTTTTTATGATCCGAGTTGATTTTTTTATGATCCGAGTTGATCTGAGTCCAATTTTCTCTTTAATTGTTCTTAATATTCTAGCTGATTAGATCTATTTTTTTAGAGATCCAACGTTGACAAGCAGCAGGATCTTCTTCCACAGTTTTTGCAGTATATTTCTTTAACAAAAATGAACTATGAAAAACTTTTAAGGCTTTTAAAAAGTTTTTTTCTACAAATTTGTAAGTTTTTTTTCTCATTTTCTCATTTACAAGTAATTTATTACTGAACAAAAAAACGTGAAAAAGGCTGAGATATACAATACTTTGACCGGCCAATAAAAGTCTTCATCAGGTTTATTAGGAAAAACCACGAATATACAGAATATATACTACTGTAAAATAACAACCGGAAGTTACATAGTATGACGTGGTAAGGTGTGGCTGCTAAGAAAAATAAGCCGAAAAAAAGATCAAGATAACACGTTTGTCCATTCCCAGAGGCTCGATGCTTTTGGCTTTAGGATAGACTGTTCACAGTCCCCTTTTTTTTCGTGAGATCGTTGAGATATGGCGCGTCTTTTAATGACAGCTATCTTGGTTTTCAAATGTACCGAGGGGGCGGGCGTCGGGGATTGCCCCCTGCCCCCTAAGTAGTTTTGACACTCATGCAAGATGCAGCCCGAAATGCAAAGCGCTCGATCTCGACGATCTTACGGAAAAATAGAGGACTGTGAACAGTCTAGCTTTAGGAATGAGGTGCGCCTCACGTGCTTTCCTGAGGCAATCGGGTTTAGTGTTTCAATTTGGATAAGTAACATATGGGAAATAGAGTGGCTATTGCTGGGAAAGTGTTCTATAACTGCGGTGTGTTGGATGTAACTACCGGAGGGGTTAACTATATAAGGGCGTCTATGTTCATTAAAACGGCTGTCCTTGAGGGTGCGTTTGGTTTCCCCATATATATTACAAATTACAAAGGACCGTTTTTGTTACTTGGAATGTTTTATATAATGCTTATTACAATAAGTTTAGATTTAATGAACAAGAAACTGATTTGTCGTTTACAAGTAATTTATTTGTAAACGTTAAGTTCCACAGTGCATAAGGAAATGTACCGAATCTACGCAAATTAGCGACACGGTGCTTAATACCATAGTAATACCGCTTGGTACTCATTTATGAAATTAAGCGCCGCGACGCTTCTTAACTATTCCCCTTCTAAATGCGAAGCTTATTCGAGTAATTACTGTTATTGGCAACTTTAAAGGAGTTTATTACATTTGAGGCAAATTGTTATTACATTTAGGGTCGTTTATAATATTTAGGCCTGTTCAACAACTGCACACCGGAGATTGCGCCTTAGCTGAAACTTATGAACTGTCCCTACAATAATTTAAGACCGCGGTTCACTCCCCCGGGGGGGGTGGGGGGGTACTCCCGCGAATTTTGGATATGGGTGTGCCGCGAAGGTTTGTGAACCCTAACCCTATTTAAGGACTAAGAAAGCGAAAACTGATACCCTTTTTAAGGCCCAAAGCCGAAAAATGACACCCTATTCAAAGAAAAAAACAAAATTATTAATGGCATGAGAAGGAAAACTTTATTTCTTCTCTGTAACATTGGATGTATAGCATCAAGCATAAAATACTAGAATAAGCCTAGTTTAATAATATGCAATCATAACCATGATACATCGTTCAATACTTAGGCGGACGTTTTCACACTCCAGTATTAGATAATACCATTAAGCTACCCTATCTAACAAAAGGGTCAAAAAAGATACCCTATTTAAGGACCAAGAACCTCAAAAACCATACCCTATTCCGCGGCACCTACCTATATAGCTCATATATGGGAGTAGCCCCCCCGTGGGTTCACTGGCCTCTTCTTTCACTTCTGCTGCTTCTGCTGAAGTCTTCGTCTCGGTTCTACCTGCTCTCTTTGATTTAGTTTCAAATTTCGCGCTTGGATCTGCTATTATACTGCTTTCTTTGTATTTGCTTTCCGGGTGGTGCGGCAAACCATCCGGAAGCTTTGTTAGCGAAGATAAAAATAACAGCCTTTTCGGCTTATCATATTACAGTAAAGTTGTTTATTAATGTCGGTCGTTTTTTTTTTCTCTCTGGAATCGCTTCAGAACTACCCTGGGTGCCAGAGACTTTTCATGCGCGGTTTCCGGTTTCGGTCAAGTCTTAAAAAGTGACCCGCGCGAAAAGCGTTTTTTCTCGCGGCTTCGCCACTCGTGTCTTCGGCCGAAGGCCGAAGACGTGTTGGCCTGCGGCCGACGAAGCTCCTCGTCACACACGAGAAAAAATCTCTGGTACCCAGGGTACTTCAGAACAGGCAAAGCTTTTAGTCCTCAAAAAGTTAATCTTGCCCTGTATTACAGCAATTCTTAAGTCTCTTTAGAGCTTGGCGATAGTTACTACTAAAAATAAGGCAGATAATCGGGTTAATAGCGCAGTTTGCCGAAGCCATAAACAAGGTGATAAGATTGTACAGATAAAAACTACAAGAAATGAAACTTTTTGGTGCACTTAAAACGGATATAATCCGACTACTGAACCGTGGTATCCTGCAAATGAAAAACACTACAACAATAGCAATAGCCATCTTCCGTACGCTTCTGATTCTTCTTGTCCGCTGTTCCTCAGCGTTGGCTGATGGCTCACCTGGATGGGCTTGCCTTTTAAGCTTGATCAGGATGACGGAGTAAAGTATCGCCAACAAGACAAAGGGGGTGAAGAGAAACACGATACCAAGTACTAAGATGTAATTTCTACTTGCGTTTTCTCCGAAAGTTTCTCTCAACTGAGTTTTGCACCTCATTCCTCCAGGGTATTCAACAATTTTTTGAGCAACAAGAAATGGCGAATGAACGGCCATCGCGATTATCCACGTAGCGACAATGAAGAATGGACACTGCTTGATAGTTATGAGAGGGGAACGAAGTGGAACTACAACAGCTCCAAATCGATCCACTGTTATCAGAAGCAGACTCTGAACAGATACTAACAAGGAAATGTATATACCGAAAACAAGTAGCTTGCACAAGGCTTGACCAAGGTTACCACCAATAAGCCACCGGCCAACGTGCAAATTTGCCAGTTGAACAGGGAACGTGAATATTGGAAAGAGCAGGTCGGACATGGCCATATTTGCGATCAACATATTTATCGGTTTTCTTAAAGTTGGTGTTTTGTAAACAATTAATACGATGAGGAAATTTCCAATCAGCGAAACAACAAGGAGCAAACTAAGAGCAACTGTTGATCCAATTTTTTCTGCTTCTAGATTTATCAGACTAGAGCAGCTCCAGGAACTTGATCCATTTACTGTTATGTTCATGCTTCTTACTGTTCGGCAGGTCTTTTCTCTTGAAAACACCATCTGTTCTTTGTCTTATATAATCTACCAAATTATTATTTAAGTAAAGCAGTTAATAAGTGGCGGGGTCGAGATATTGAGCACGCGGTAAGTTTGGAAAGCACAAACGAGGCGAGCAACTCGGTCCTGCCTCTTGAGTGCTCGCCAAACTTCCCGCGTGCTCAGTATCTCGACATACGCACGCTGACGCATGAACTAATTGTTAACTAGGGTATCTAAAAGATAGTAATGCTGTGGCACATTCTGTTGATACTGGCATTAGTTAGGCGGTGGGACTTAAAAGAATCGAAAATGACATTGAATGTCCTATTTACTTGTTGGAAAGTACTAGAATAATTACTATCAGTCTATGTAAAGAACTCGTGGGAACGTTGTTTAAAAAATGATCAAGTGGTTATCAACTCTGGTTTTCCCACAGTAAATTGTAGGAAATGATAGAAATTCAGATTGTTTATCCATTTTAATATAGGGTGTACTATCTTTTCTCTGGAAACATGATACTTTTCTTGCTGTTTATTGCACTTTATTGAATAACAGTTATTTAGCTATATATTTATAGAAAACAACAACAAAAAAAAACAGAAAAAGAGAAAGAAGGAAAAAAAGAATTCGGTAGGACTCGAACCCAGCACCATCGACTCGACGCAACTACACCTCACCACTACACCACAGAGACTGATTACGTAGTTTGGGGAAAAGTCTTTTATTTAATTCCTTTTCCGTGAAACTTCCGACGGCAAGATGATCGCCAGCCGCATTAATCGAGCTATTAACAGCAAAAAAACAATGTAAACGCATATTCCATGGCAACGAATGAATGCAAAAACATAATTATGCTTTTCAAAACGCCGATACACGTCCTCGTCTGCAACGTAGGACACAAAACATATGTTTTGTTATCTCGATTTCCGCTGTTATTTTGAAAAGCATGGCATGACATTTTCTCACTTTCACATCACCTTCTAGCAAGCTGGAATTTGTATATCCCCCGTGTTGCGGAGTCGAAGAGCAAATACTCATCTTCTCGTCAGGTTTAACACCTGGACGAGTCGAAGGCTCTTGAATTGAAATCCAATCCCCAAGTTAACCATCGTACTCATCTGAAAGACTCCTGCGTGTCTTCAATTTGGTAAGACCTCTAACCGTACTGTAGAAAATTTGCTACAAAGAAAACTTTGAGTCTGGGTAGCGAACGGATGCGAACTTCCCCGTGTTTGTATTTGACTTGTTCGTGGCGCAACGCACTCTGGTTAAGTGTAATGCATTGTGGTAAAAAATGTGGTTAAATGCAATGCATTTTGGTAAAAAGTGATGAATTCGAGAATTCGTCGCCCCTTATATATTTCCCTTAAATCCTGATTATGTTGCTGCTCGCTCCCTACGGTCGCTCCGCAGCAATTATAACATAGCCGGTAGAATATTTGCGTAATCAAATTCAATAGAGCGAGCGTGCTTCATATTCCCATTGAGCACGCTGATGACGTCAATAGAGCTTACCCGCACCAAATCATGCGATCAACTGTATATTTTAAGGTGGCCCGAACCTATTTATTTGCGCGTTGGTTATGTTTTTGAATCGGGTTTTTCGGCAAGAATGATTGAACCGATTTCTATGATTTTTGGCATCCTTAATAAAGAATGGTCGAAATTTAAGAAACCGCTATATATTTTCTTATAGGTATGAAAACACTTGAGATATCGGCATATGTTTATAACCGCATTTTTACAAAGTACGTCAATAATTTCAAAACCTTAAGACAGATTTTTCTCTAACTTCGGCAATTAAGCCTCCGAGCTCTCTAGTTTTATATCTGCATGTTTGAAGTCAATCGTGACCGTAAAACTCGCTGCACAAATAGCTGGTCAAATTTAACCTTAAAACGCAACGCTAACACATTTGTGAAAGTTGACACACAAATAGAGGACAACTGCCGACGGACTACCTCCTATCTGCAAGGGTATTCTTGCCCAAAGCTTTAGTAATCAGAAACAAACGGCAAATACCGTTCGCAATACAAGAAGAACAACTTTATGCTGAAAATAGAAACTAAAATTGCGTTAGAACCTTGAATTGTATTTGACATCTATTTGAATACTATTTATAAAATTTTGCCAGGTTGTCCTTGTATTTGAAACTGACATATTTAGTATCAAAACTACATTTTAAATACAGTATTTAAACTATATTCCGTTCAGGAAGAGAGTACTGGAGGGTGCATGGCTAAATTTTTTTCAAATACCGCGTATTTAAACTGCTTTTCGGAAAGAAGAACCTAAAATCAAAGATTTAAAAGTAGTTTTTACAAGTAAAGTTCAAAATCAGCTTATAAATAGCATAGTTAAAACATGTTTAAAAAGGTTTAAGAGGCCGTTCAATTTAAATTGTGATTTGAAATGACCAGCACCTTGAAATGTCTCGAAACAGGATTAAAACTGATGGCTGTTTTTACAGTACAAGTTTCACAAACTACCCTCATTTGAAAGGTATTTAACCTGTTTCTAATCCTAGCTAAAACAGGCTATTTATAGGGTGTTTTGACAGTAAAACCGGCTGTCTCAATGGTAAAAAATATACTCCAAAGGAAAAAAGAAATTTCAACCAAATTTATTTTCAAACAGACTATAAATACTGTTTACGGGGTATTTTTAAAAATAGATACCCACAGTCACGGAGTTGACTCTATAGATGGCTTTTTTTGGCAAGCTTTTGGCGCAGTGATTTCTGGAATCGTTTGGGTGGACGAGCGTTAGTTGTGATTGGTGGATGATGATATTCAAGGCCACCACTAACCAATCATACGTACCGCTTTTCAACCCAAACAATCCCAGAAATCGTTGCGCCGGAAGCTTGTACCCATTCCTTTATAGTTTCCAGAGTGGGGAATAGACCTTTTTACCGATACGGCGACCATATTGAATTAATTCAATTTAAGGAGTATTATAGGATGCCCAGGGGGCATGAGCACATTTCGTTTGTATTTTCGGGCGCTTTTTGGGACATTTTTTCTTAAAGTTTTCTTAGAATAAGATTGTAATGGGAAAAAAGATCCTTGTGTCGTGTTTGGATGTAATAATGATACCCTTTTTCTACTTTAGTATTAGAAATATGGTCTTTCACTGTATATTTCTCGGGAAAAAGGCGTAGAAGGGAAATTAAACACGCTAAAACGGACCGACTAACTGGGCAAACACCGCCTGAGGATTAGTGACCTAGTAAATACATCCTTTTAAAACTGAAGGATCCATTTCAGCTTTTAAAGCGGAAGCGTTGCATGAAATTCTTGTAATTCATTCACCTGCTACTGTTAGAACAAATTGCTTGAAACATTGCAGCTAATAACCCCTGGTCATATTCAAACAGTTAGGTCTTACGATGTTTATCTTTTCTCCCTACGCTTATTGGATTTTTATCTTTCTTCCCATTGGTCAGTTGATATACCTTGTTACAATTTAAATAATTAACTGGGTCACTGTGTGTTTATTGGGCGGAAAAGGTGGTAAAGTGACATAAGATCTAAAGATTTACATTATACCTTCGCTCAAAATCTATACATTATTCTATAACCACTGGCAAATGCTTAATTAATGTGTCGCCTCACATTAGGAGCAAGGTGGCACAGTCGTTTGGCCTTCGGTGCGCGTAGTCCAGAGTTCGATTCCCGGTGACATCACATCCTTCTTTTAACTTCTCTCCTTTCTGTATAGCTTTGTCAGTAGCTTTAAATACCCTTAAAACGGCCGAGCATTGACGGACAGAGGGTGAAGGGGGGGGGGGGAGTTATGGTTTTTATTTTTGTTAGAAAACTAAAATCACCTTGTGCTGTTTGCCTTGTTTAAGCAATATTTTTCTTTCTTAAGTAATAGCGTAGCCGTTAAGTTGGCAATTAACATAAACTGCACACACACTAAGAGGAAAAACGGATGAAAAAAAAAATTAGAAAATAGTTGATAATATCAGGCGGATCTTTTAAGCAGCGGTACGGTTAACTGTTCGAGAAACTCTAATACTTCCGAAAAAAAATATATTAAACGTTATGACCAGGGGCAGATTGTCTCGTCTAATTAATTAGTCATTTACATGAAAACAGAAGCGTAAGAAAGTACAACTGCATTTAGATGCAATTCATTTAAATACTCAAATAAGAAATTCCTAAGAGTATAAAAATGCAAACGTTTTTGTGGATAGCAAAAAATCATTCCCAAAGAAAAGGCACCCAACAGATCGGAATAAGATAAAGTCGAATCTTGGCACCTTGTCATTCTTATTGTGCGTTGAATTGTTTTAACGATAACTAACTTCAGGGAAACAGAGTGTATTACCGGCCCACTACCAGCACGCAAAAAAAACACCGTAACTTTTCACGATCATAATAATAATAATTATAATAGTAATAATAATAATAATAATAATAATATTAATAATAATAATAATTATTATAATTATATGGGTCTATATGCTTTAAGCATCCAGCCTTTAATTACGAGTCTACAAGCAGCGTCCAGTGTGAAGCAATGTTGGTTTGCAGATGATGCTAGTGGAGCTGGCTCCATTATGGAAATTAGGACGTGGTGGGATGCTCTTAGCACCCTTGGTCCGGATTTTGGTTACTTTCCGAACGACAGGAAATGCTGGATCATCGCAAAACCAGCTAAGGAAGAAAGTGTCAGGGAAGCTTTCAAGGACACGTCCATTAACGTAACAGTACAAGGGCAGAAACACCTTGAGGCGGCAATAGGATCAAGGGAGTATTTAGAGGAATATGTCAGCGAAAAGGTGACCAATTGGATCAATGACATAGCTAAGTTAGCCGAATTTGCTCTATCTCAACCACAAGCGTGTTACGCGGCCTACACCTTTGGCTTGAAACATCGGTGGACGTACTTTTTAAGAACTTTGCCGGACATTCAAGATCTGTTAGAGCCATTAGAAGATGCAATATCTCATATGCTAATTCCTGCGATTACTGAGCGCAAGTGTAATCAGCTGGATAGGAATATTCTAG